TTCACCTTCTTCTAGGTTTGGTCTTTTCACGGTGTCCCATATTTCCTAGATATTTTGTGTTAGGGATTTGCTGGACTTAAGATTTTCTTTGGTTGATGAATCTATTTCCCCTAGTGTATCTTCAACACCTGAGATTCTTTCCTCCATCTGTTGTATTCTGTTGGTTATGCTTGCATCTGTAGTACCTGACCATTTGCCCAGCTTTTCTATTTCTAGCATTCCTTCAGAATGGGTTTTTTATTGTCTCTATTTTAGCTTTCAACCCTTGCACTGTTTGAATTGTTTCTTGCAATTTTTGCTTTGTGTTTTCCTCTCTTTCTTTCATTTGTTGAATTTTTGGTTTGTTTTGTCTTCCATTTCTTTAAGGGATTTTCTCATATCCTCTTTGAGGGCCTCTATCATTTTCATGAAGTTGTTTTTAAGGTCTTTCTCATCTGCTTCATTTGCATTGGGCTGTTCAGGTCTTGCGGGTGTATTGTCTCTAGACTCTGGTGGTGTTATATAGGTTTTTCTGTTGCTGGGTGTGTTTTTATATTGTCTCCTTCCCATCATTTCTTCCAGTGGGTGCAGAAGAAGCCTCTTCCTCTCCTGGTGGGTATGTGGCCACTGTTCCTTTCCTGGTGGGAGCGAGCAGGTCCAGTATTCTGGTGACTTTCCTCTTGCGTGGATGGAGGAGGTCCTAGAACCAGGGCCTTGGCAATCTTTGGGTAGGCTGGTCCCTGTCTGGATGGGATCTGCAGTGTGCAGTCCCCAGGTCTCTGGTGGTTCTGCTCAGGGCACTGGAAGTCAGGCTGGAAATAGTCCCACCTGTACCATGGGTGGAGAGTGGGACTTGGACACTGGCAGTCTCTGGGCGGGCTGGCTCCTGCTGGGATGGGAGCTGCAGTACACAGTCCTGGTTGCATTTCTTCAGCATGCCTCTCCCCAGATCTTGTAGTGCCCACCCCCCAAAAGCACTTCCACAGTGACACAGTTCACCCCCACCTGGCATAAATGGTTTGGTTCATCTGAAAACAGTGGCTTAGCTGTGTCTTTGTAGCTAAATTCCCGCTTGAGCTCGCTTCTTTTTTCTTTAGCTATTTCTCTTATAAGTATAGGGTCAACTGCTTTATATCATAATTTTAATGCAATTTCACTGACACAAGCAATTCTTTAATCCACCACATTAACTGGAAGTCTCTATTTCATTCTTTCTTTTCATCACTGCATTTTCCCTTTTTCTTTCTATTATTTGGTCATATTTTTACATTCTTTTGTTTTTATTTTTAAATGTATTTGGCTTTTTCTTCCCTTTCCTCTATCATCAAGTTTTATCTGCACATTTTTCATTGTCAGAGTTTTTAGCTCTTACTTACTCTCTTCTCTCCCATTCCCCATTCTCTGAATTCCTTCTTTTGTTTAATCTTTTCCCTTTCTGTTGTCACACCTAGAAAAAGATCTATCTACAGGCAGCTAAGGAATGCTGAGTGTGGGACAAAGGGTCCAACCCCAAATGCCCAGTCTTGAAGCAATAGACATAGGAGTAACATTGTATGGACTAAGCAGGTTGAAGTTGCATATTTAGATTTCTTAAGGACACACACACATCAGCAGCTAAAATAATACAATCCACAAACCTGAAGACGAGCAGGTGGAGTGCGTGGGAAGAGTTGGAAGGAGGAAAGGGGAGAGAGAAAAAATGATCCAATTATATTTTCATTTCAAATCTAAAAGCAAGTGAAAGAGGGCATGGGTATGGAGGGGCATATCTGGGAGGAGGTAGGGGAATATGATTTTGAATATGTATTATATAAAATTAATAGAAAATATTGTCTCAGGGTTACTATTGCTGTGATAAAACACCATGACCAAAAAAAAAGAGTTTATGCTTCCATATTACAGTTCATCAGAAGAAGTCAAGGCAGGAGCTGGCGGAGAGGCCATGGAGGGGTGCTGCTCACTGGCTTGCTCCCCATGGCTTGCTCAACCTGCTTTCTTATAGAACCCAGGACCACCAGCCCAGGGATGGCTCCACCCACCATGGGTTTGGCCTCCCCCATCAACCACTAGTTAAGAAATTGCCCTATAGGCTTGCCCACAGCCTGATCTTAAGGAGGCATTTTCTCAGTTGAAGATCCTTCTTCTCTGATGACTCTAGCTTGTGTCAAGTTGACATAAGACTAGCCAGTACAAGTGTCACATGCTGCAAAAGAAAGTAAATTGCATTAAAATGGAATTATATGCAGCTATTAAAAAAAACATTGGCATCAGTGGGAAATTCTCTCCAGCTGGTAATACTATTCATCCTTAGCAAGTTCCACATTTCCAAAGCTCAAGTAGTAGCTAAGGAACCAGATTCAGTTCTACATAAGACCCAAACACACAGGACTCCTCTCCACACAAACATCCTCCACTGTGAAAATCATAGCATCTCCAGAGCTTGTCTGGTAATATGCACAGGACCCTTGCTGGTGCCACATTGGCAAATTTTCCAAATTGTCTTCCTTTCTGGTTGTGATAAAAGAGGGAACAGCACGAATGCAGCCACAGAGACCAGTCCCAGAGCAGACACATGACCGGGGCAAGAGGGTTGACCCTGCTAATAGGGTGTGAACCTCACCAACTTCCCTCTCCAAAATCAACAAATGTCTTCGATTTGTCCCCTGATCATTGATCTTGTCTCCAGTCTTAATTACGGTTTCTATTGCTGTGAAGAGACACCATGACCACGGCAACTCTTACAAAGGAAAACATGTAATAGGTTGGCTTACAGATCCGAGGTTAAGTCCATTATCATCATGTTGGTATATGACAGCGTGCAGGCAGACATGGTGCTGGAGAAGGAGCTGAGAGTTTTACAACTTGATATGCAGGCAACAGGAAATAAACTGCCTCACTGGGTATGGCTTGAGCATATGTGAGACCCCAAAGCCCGCCTCCACAGTAACACACTTCCTCCAACAAGACCATACCTACTCCAACAAGGCCACACCTGCTAATGGTGCCACTCCCATTGGGAATCATTTTGTTTCAAACCACCACACCTCCCTCACCAACTACAGAGCTCAGCAGAACAAGAAGCCAGTCCTGAGAGGGATTTTGCCCTCATAAATGTCCTGAGTTAGAGTGTCTAAGGCAGGTGCAGCCCTGGATGGTTCAGCTGTCAAAGTTTTCCCAGAAACCCACATAGAGTCCTTTCTGGGACCAAGTTGCATCTAATCACGGCACCTATCTAATGCATGTATACAAACCTGCCCCAGGCTCAACATGGACATCCTTATACTTTTACGGATGCAACCACAGTGGCTACCTGGACACAATCTTGGAGCCCCTTTGGTATAGAAAGATGATTTTTATTCAGTCAACGCCAACTTTTTGCTACCACACTGCCTGCCTGGAGGAAATCTCAATGCTAGGCTGTGTCCTTGGGTCTAAATGATATCACAACTGCCAATGAATCTTTCTACCCATTTCTGATGCTAGTCTCAGCACTCACCTGCTGCTAACCTTGGTCCTCATGTATCTCCCAGTAAAGGTAGGCTGTAGTAGGATTTTTCTTTGGACATTCAGCTCACAAATAACAACATGGAGACTTCTTATTAATTTTGAATGCTTGACCTTAGCTTACTCCTGTCCCACTAGCTCTTATAACTTAAACTAACCTGGTTTTATTAGTCTACATTTTACCACGTGATTTTTTTTTACCTTTCTTTCATCTTACACCTCTCCGTGTCTCCTATAGTCCCCACGTGCCTAAATTCCCCCTCTTCCTTTCTCTCCCGGGAAATCCCACCTATATCTCCTTCTTAGCTATTGGCCACAAAGCTTTTCATGGCACCAATCACAGCAAATTATGGTTTCTATCGCTGTGAAGAGACACCATGACCACGGCAACTCTTACAGAGGTTGGCTTACAGATCAGAGGTTAAGTCCATTATCATCATGTGGGATGTGTACAAATATCCCACAACAGCAGGGCCAGACAGTGCAGTGACCACGGTGAGGTTAATGCTGAAAGACATTCCACCCTCTGAAATCCTGAGTTATTCTCCTCTATTCTGTGGAAAGATCCATGGAAATATGGCTGTGGTTTTGTACCCTTTTCCAAGTCATACATAGACAGGAAAGGTTGCCCATACTAGACTCAAGTTGAGGCTCCTTTAAAAACTGAACATGAAGACACAGCACAAGACCATTGCCAAACTCAACATCTGGGCTCAGGTGCCCAGCTCAGTCCCTTCCATCCGCTCCCACCGGGACCTTCACACCCACAGCTCCTCCTTGTCATGTGACCATCCAGTGCACAGCTTTGGAATCCTTCTGGGTTCCTTAGCAATATTTCTCTCCTAATAAAAAGGTTCGAATATCTGGGTCCCCAGAGATGACTCTGGTGTTAAGAGCACTTGTTGCTCTTGCAGAGGACCCGGGTTTTATTTTCAGGATCTACACAGTGGCTTAAGACCCTGTGCAACTCCATTTCCAAGGGGTCCATCTGTATCTTCTGACATCCCTGGACACTGCGTGCATGAGTTGCATGTGCGTACATGCAAGAAAAACAGTCAAATACATAATATTTTAACAAGATATATTCCTAAATGAAATAAATCCTATTTGAATATTCAATGTCTGCAGCCATGCTTCCTGTACCATTCCAGTGAAATCTAAGAATGTTAATTCAATACAGAGCACAATGTCCAAATCTATAAGGCCCCTTTCATGTGCTCAGTCATAAAAATATAAGTGTTTTTGTTGTTGTTGTTGTTGTTGTTGTTCTGGATTTGATCTCCTGGACCCAGAGATGAGCAGTCCCCGGAGAATACCTCTTTAGTGTTTTAAACTAAGCCTGACAGAGGTCCCTGTCCTCGTTCCATGCTGTGGGTGACGCAATGCAGATGTGTCAATGTTAGGAGATAAGATGGGAGGTAAAAAGACTGCACTCAGTAAACAGGGGCAAAGGTTCTCGTCTATCCCAGGAGCATAAAAGAATCGTGTCTCAGCCTTGGCCACAGCCTGTCCTCCTCACTGGCCACCATGCTGGGCTCAGGGCTGATCCTGGTGGCCATACTGGCCTACCTGAGTGTCATGGTCTTGGTGTTTGTCTGGAAGCAGAAATTCAGGGGGAAACTCCCTCCAGGACCCACTCCTTTGCCTTACATTGGGAATTACCTGCAGCTGAATACAAAAGACATCTACAGCTCCATCACAGAGGTATCACCTGATGAGGGGATGGATGGGATGCGGGAGTATGGGAGTCTGTACAATTTTGCATGTTCCTCTTGGTGGAAGATTCGTAGAGCAAGGCATGGTCTTATGATGGGGGAGTTGGGAAGGCTCTGGCACTCTTTGGTTTGATTTCAATCATTTGACTGCTGATTTAGATGATGTCTCGTACCCGACCTTTGTGTACTGGTCCAGTCAGGCAAGCAACTCCTCTAACACCTCCCATCTGCCCCACATCAGCTCAGTGAGCACTACGGCCCCGTGTTCACCATCTACCTGGGGCCTCGCCCCGTCGTGGTGCTCTATGGATACGATGCAGTCAAGGAGGCTCTGGTGGACCAAGCGGAGGAGTTCAGTGGACGAGGCGAGCAGGCCACCTATAACACACTCTTCAAAGACTATGGTGAGGGGACACCACATTGAGAAACACTTGTGGGCCTCATTTAAGTAGCCTGTCCTCCTAACTCGTCGCCCCGATCAAGGCTGTGGATTCCTCTGCTCATCTCCCTATGCACGTATTGAGTGTTGCCTCTCGCCGTGTCTCAGATCTGTGGCCGTGGCTCCCGGCTGCTCCCTTCCCCTACCTGCCTCTTCTCTCTCTCTAGATGTCTGCCTCCCATGCATCTGTCTCTGAGAACCTCTTGGCACCCTCATAGAGTGAGTCCTGTCCCCTTAATTTGACTGTTTTTGTCTCTTACAACATTTTAGATTTATCTTCTCAACCTTTCTGTGTACGGGTGTTTTTGCCTGTGTGGATGTCTGTGTGCCATGTGTGTGCCTGGTGCCAGCGGAGGTCAGAGAGGTCACCAGACTTCAGAGAGTGGGGCTCACAGCTGCTTGAGAGCTGCTGTGTGGATGCCTAGATCACCTGGGTCACCTACAGAACAAGTGCCTTTATCCACTGAGCCTTCTCTCCAGACACTGGGTTTTTTCCATATCTTGATGTCTTCACCTCCGACACCCCGCTGCATTCTTTCCCTTGCCCTCCTGTCTTCCTGTGATTTGAGAAAAAAACAACACCGTTCCTTTCCTGTCCTGGAAACCTGCTGCCAACGGCCTCCCTCTGCTTTTCTGCCTCCCTGTTTTTAGTCTGTCCCTAGCCCGACCTGGAGTCATCCACAACCGTTGTTTTCACCTCAGACTTCGGGCCCCCTTCAGGGTTGAGCTGAGGCCTGCATTTTGAAATGCCGCTTTACATACCTCAGGTATTTGTCTCAAGGATGAGTCTGACTTTCGTGGAATGTTAGAGTCCAGCAAGTGCTGGCCAAGTCTGCAAAACTGGCCTTGAGCAGCAAAATATTTATTATAGGCAAGAAAAGGCAAAACACACAGAAGGCATACCAAGAGTCAAATGTCTTTACGCCACTAACTCCGTGGTTACGGTTTTGCACACAGCAGGTGTCTGTTCCTTGAAGAACCGAGAGAGATACAAATGGCCACAACCACCTAGTGTTAAAACACAGAAGTGACCACAGCTCAGGCCACATAAGCAAAACCAGAGCCAGGGACAAGGGCATGTTTGTGTGGAGTCAGTCCTTGCTTTACTGGGATTTGCTGATTTCGGCAAATGCCGTCTGACCGTGGGATCCTTGGATGGTTTTGCTACTTCAGACACCCAGAACGGCTAACCAGCATCTTAGAACACGATGCAGCTGGTCCAGCTAGGACATTGAGGACTGTATTCTGCGTCCTGGCGTGTGTCTGGTTGTCACTGTTTCTCTTTGCCTGGCTGAATTGTTACTACTATCTTAGTCAGTCGTGTGTGCCTGATACAGGGTCTCTGTTAGTAACCCTGCGTTTCCTCCGTCTCTCTCCTAACCTGTGTCTCCTCCCTTTCCTCGTGAGAACCCTCTCCAGTGTGGGACTTGGCCTTCCTCGGCATCACTCTGTGTCTCCCCACCTCCGTGGTCTCACCTTTATAGGTGTGGCGTTCAGCAGCGGGGAACGAGCCAAGCAACTCAGGCGCTTCTCTATCGCGACACTGAGAGACTTCGGAGTGGGAAAGCGCGGTGTGGAGGAGCGTATCCAGGAGGAGGCGGCCTATTTGATCAAGATGTTACGGAGCACCCGCGGTAAGCAGGAGACCCTTAGGCGTTTGGGCAAGAAAAGGAACAGCGGAGCCACCGAGAACCTGCGGGGCTGTGGAGAGGAAGGGTGGGAAGACCGCCTACGAAATGGTCCCTGGAATCCGATGCTGAGCATGTGGTCCCTCGGGTCAATGCCCACGTCATCCGCTTGACTCTTTTCTTCCTTGTAATCGCCATGTCTTCCCAACCATGCCATGCCTCTCAGGAGCACCCATTGACCCTAACGACTACCTGAGCCAAACAGTCTCCAATGTCATTAGCTCCGTTGTCTTCGGGGACCGCTTCGACTACGAGGACAAAGAGTTCCTGGAACTGCTACACATGATGAATGAGATGAACAAATTTGCAGCTTCTCCCGTAGGACAGGTGAGCAAACACAGCTCTACCTCTCACTATTACAGTATCCCACAACACCTGTACCCACACAGGGAAAGATCGCCCCAGCTCTTATCCCCACAAACACAAACTCCCCTCAAAGCCAACCCTTACCCTAGACGCCTGAAATTTTACCTCAGAGCCCATAGTAGCTATCCCGTATGCAGATCTCAGAGGAGGGTTTCCCCCAGTTTAACCTTACTCTCTAACAAGCCTTCTGTGTGGTCCTTCTGAATATCCTAACAACTGCCCAGAGGAGACCTGTGACCACCTTAGACCTCTCCTCCCTCCTGAGCACCTGGTTCTGTCAAAGTGAAGCCAGTGAAGTTATTTCCTCCCCTACACCGTTGTCCCAAAATATCCCACCAGGACAGCCAGACGACAGACACCTGCCTGTCCTATGTAAATTCAGAAATTAGTACACAGGCACCCCAACTAAGACAACCAAGCACAGATCTCAAAATAGACTGTTTTCTCAAACACCCAAATGGTCCCACACAGCCCACATCAAAACATGGACGGGTGTGCCCACGCCTGAACCATCCTGGGCTAAAGGATCTAGAAAACTGATTCTAATCTCACACAAGTACCTAGACAGCTGAACAGCCCACCCTGATGACTACACATCTAGATTCCCCCGTTATACTCCTGGACTGAATGCTGGAAGCCGGGAGCAAGGCTCTGACCCAAAGTCACTTAAATAGTTGAGTTGTTGGACAGTGGACATCATGCTTATGCCACCTATGAAATTTCTGTCTGTGAGACTGTAGTGACATCTCAGCGATTAAGGGCATGACTGCACAGCTCTTCCCGAGGACCTGAGGTAGCCTCCCAGCACCCATGCTGCACATGTCACAACTTCCTTGTCTTAGTTAGAGTCTCTGTTGCTGTGAGGAGACACCGTGACCACAGCAGCTCTTACAAAGAAGACATTTCACTAAGGGGGAAGCTTACAGTTCAGAGGTTCTATCCAATATGGTGGGTATCGTGGCGGCAGGCAGGCAGGCACGGTACTGGAGAAACAGCCTAGTGTTCTACGTCTTGCAGGCAGCAGGAAGTTGACTGACACACTGGGCAAGTATCCTGAGAATATGAAACCCCAAAGCTTGCCCCTGTTGCTGAAGTTCTCTGTCCCACGAGGTCCCACGGTCACTTCAGCCCCAAATAAACACACAGACTCTATACTAATTATAAAACTGTTGACTGATGGCTAGAGCTTCTTTTTTTTTTTTTGGTTTTTACGAGACAGGGTTTCTCTGTATTGTTTTCGAGGCTGTCGGTCCAGCCCGGCCTCGAACTCACAGCCATCCACCTGCCTCTGCTTCCCGAGTGCTGGGATTAAAGGCGTGCGCCACCACCGCCTGGCCCGGCTAGAGCTTCTTACTGGCTAGCTCTGTCTTAATTACTAACCCATAACTACTAATCCATGTATTTACACATGGTCTTGGCTCACTGAAGAATGCCTGGACCTGTTACTCCTTTGGAGGTTACATGGACTCTCCGCACCTCTCTCTGTCTTCTCTTCCCAGAATTCTCCTCGCCTGTTAGCTCTGCCTGTCTTCCTGCCTCTATTGGCCAAACAGTGTTTTATTCATCAACCAATAAGAGAAACATATATACAGAAGGGCATCCCCCATCATCTCCTCTTTTCTGTCTAAATAAAATAAAGGTTTTAGCTTTAACAGTAAAATTAGATATAGCAGTAGTTATCAATATTTAATCCTTTAACATTTGGCAAAATTTAAAGAAAATTTTCTCTCATGTATCTTATTTTTGTGAGTCTAAACTTTTATATGTAACTTATCTTTCATCAAAACTAAGGAAAACTATAACCACAACTATCTATCTTCAACTCCATCAAAGACCACAGAAGGATAATATATAGACTCTAGTATTGACAGAGACATCTTGTTTCCTGGACAGTCACCCAAAGTTCCTCTGTGATATTGGGGCATCCATCTTCAGCCTACAGGCTTAGAGTGTCTGACAGACTTCTCAGTGAGGCAGGAAATTTAAACTTTCCACCTGTAGGGGCAGTTTGTCAGTCATTTTTCTCTGTGCCCTGCAGAATGTCTGGCAGACTCTCCATGAAGCAGGAATGCTGAAGGAATGTCCCATTTATTTTGTCAAGTTCAGCAGTCACTTTCCTGTGGGTCCTACATGTCCAGTTTATACAGCATATAGTCAAACAGTCCAGGCAAAAATGGTTTCTTACCCAAATGGCTGTTTCTGCCATGTTGGAGGCAAACTCCATAACGAATTTCTTCCTCTCTGATATAATTGGTGTTGCCAGGAGCAGTTGTGTCTCATTGTCACTAAAAACCCTAAACCATTTTAAATGTCATATTCTGTAGGTCTTGGAAAGAGTTCTTTAAAAGATAGAGTTGCTGTGCGTGCTCTCCAGACTGACATAAATACATTACCACCGAATGGATGTCTTGAGCTAAGAAACACTTTCCCTGAGACAAGTCCCAGTCCCATTGGGTGTTGTCACTGACAGCTATCTCTCCCATCCTTTTCTCCCCCACCTCCCCAGCTCTATGACATGTTCCACTCAGTGATGAAGTACCTGCCTGGACCACAGCAACAGATCATCAAGAATACAAAGGAACTGGAAGACTTCATGATCAGGAAAGTGAAGCAGAACCAGAGCACCCTGGACCTCAACTCCGCACGGAACTTCATTGACTCCTTTCTCATCCACATGCATGAGGTGATCCCAGCATCCTGGGGAATGGGAGGTCCAAAACCAGGCAGGGGGAGAAACTGCTCTAGAAAAGAAGGAAGAGCCGAGGCCCATTAAGTCCCCGCGATGCTCCTCACAGTCCCAGTCGTAGTTAGACATTCCTCTTCCCTCTGTTGAGCCACACCCAAGCCAGCAAGCAAGTTACCATGCCAACCCATTTTCCAGCACTCCCCTGCAAGACACCGTTTTCAATACATCACACTATCCACCTGCTTAGCGTCTACCCAAGCTGCTGGAAAAGACTGTGGAGCCTACATTTCACAAATGAGGAAACTGTCCCCAGAGTCTCTAAGTGACCTACATGACATCATGCAACAAAGAAAGCGTACACCGAATACAAACCGTGGCCTCTCTGTATGAAAGATTTTTGCTATCAACCACCACGATCTTATCATTTCATAACTTGGTTCTGAAATGCACATCAGTGGCCCAGGAGACATCAAAGGGCCTCAGAGCTGGGGAAAGGCCATGGAATTATGCAGAGCATGGAGGTCAAGGGGTCTGGTTAGGGGATCCTCTGTGGGTTGTTGTAGAAGGAGGAAAGACTGTCATTTAAACTCTGGGTCTGTGTCTCACATCTGCCTCCAACGACACACTCCATCATGGCATCTGTGGAGTTCTTTCTCACAGTCCTTACCCCTCACTTGCTAAACATTACGACCATGAAAAGAGTGACCCCAGAATGGTCGTTAAAAGACAGACAGTTGACTAGAGAGAGAGGAGCAAAGATTCTCGTGCAAATCCACACAGGACCTGGAGATTGCATTTCCAGGTCTGGACCCTTGGAAAGGTGGCTCCAAAGACAACTCCAGAAGTGGTACCCATGGCCCCTCCTCCCTGAGGAATTTAATCTGCAATTCACAGGGAAGGTGAAATTACATTCCTTAGTGACACCCATATTCACCCATATTCATGAGGTGAATCCTAATGATGAGATGCTGGCCACACACACACACACACACACACACACACACACACACACACACACGCAAAAGATGTGACAATTGCAGGGAACTTATTAGGAATAAGAAACAGTTCCATGGAAGAACGTGGAAAAGAGAAGGTAATAGATTGAATATGTTCAAACTACATATCTAATATGTGTCTGAAAAATGAGGACACAAGGTTCACAGGGTATGGATGGGGACTCAGCTAGGAGGATTTGGGGGAGGGTTTTAAATATATTCACAATACAATGGATGAAATTCTCTAAGAATTAATAAAATATTTGCAAAAGAATGACTAGAAAAATTTTAGAAAATTGAAACCGTTAATGTGCCCAAGGGAGTAATAAACTGATTAATGGATTTCTCTCTCTCCCTCTCCCTCCCTCTCCCTCTGCAGGAGAAGAAGAACCCCACTTCCGAGTTCAACATAAAGAACCTGGTGATGACATCACTGAACCTCTTCTTTGCTGGTTCTGAGACAGTCAGCTCCACGATACGCTATGGCTTCCTGCTGCTCATGAAGTACCCAGAGGTGGAGGGTGAGGCTGGCTCTGGGGTAGGGAATGGGGAGCCACAGATGCTCTGACCTCTTTTCTGAGCTGGCCACAATGACCCTCACCTCTCCCGGGCCCCTGAGTGTTCAGAACTGCCCTGCTGTGCAAAGCCAAGGGGGTATAAAATGCTTGAATGGAGTTCCTGCTAGCTGTTAAAATGTTAGGCATTTCCAAGTTGATTTCCCACTGGTTTCCAGATTCCTGCACTCTGGTCCATACCCTGACATCCTCCCTGTTCTACCTTGTGATTCTGTCATGGAAAGGATCAAATGGCACTGGCAGAATTTCGATTGGTTTATCTTTATGTCATTTACAGATCCATGTATGGTTAACTGTTTCACATGTTTGAACTGTGGCACCTGCTCTGTGTGCCCTGGAATTTTTGTTTTGTTTTGTCTTGTTTTTTGTTTTAGTTTTGGTTTTTCAAGACAGGGTTTCTCTATGTATCTTTGGAGCCTGTCCTAGAATTAGCTTTTGTAGACCAGGCAGCCCTCGATCTCACAAAGGTCCGCCTGCCTCTCCTCCCGAGTGCTGGGATTAAAGGCCACCACCACCACCACCACCCAGCATACCCTGGACTCTTTTTTATCATTTTTATTTTAATTTTAAATACCTTGTTTTACATGTCAATCCCAGTTCCCTCTCCCTCCCCTCCTCCCGCACTCCCCTTCCCCCCCACCCTCCCACCCTATTGCCAAATCCTTCCACATAGGGGATATCTAGAGTCTGTCATTTTACTCTGGGTAGGGTCCAGGCACTCCCCTAAGAGTCCAGGCTGAGAGAGCATCCCTCTTTGTGCTATAGGCACACGAAGACTGTTTGTATATCAGGGATAGACACTGATCCACAGCTCAGGGCCCCATAGGTTGCCCAGGCCTTCTCGCTGACACTCACATTTGGGGGGTTCAGATCAGTCCCATGCTGGCCTCCCCACTGTCAGTCTGGGGTCCAAGAGCTCTCCCCTGTTCAGATCAGCTGTCTCTGCTGGTTTTGCTAGCCCATTCTAACATAACCCCCCCTTGTCCTCCAGCCAAGGTCCATGAGGAAATTGACCGGGTGATTGGCAGGAACCGACAGCCCCAGTTTGAGGACCGCATGAAGATGCCCTACACGGAGGCTGTCATCAATGAGATCCAGAGATTTGCTAATCTTGCTCCCTTGGGCATTCCTCGGAAGACTATCAAGAACACCACATTCCGTGGCTTCTTCCTCCCCAAGGTGCAGACACGCCCACCCAGGAGGGGCCTCCAGCCCACTTCCTGGTTCCTCGATGCCCCCTTTCATGGGCTGCTATCTAACCCACTCCAGCTCCTCCAATCAAAGAACGCCCCAGCTACCAAGTCAGCCTCCCCAGGATCCTCTGATCAGATTGTTGCCACCTCAACCTTTACTTAGCACCTCGGGAGACGCATCCTCCTGTCCCCAACTTCCTGTCTCTGATTTGTAACCACGCTTCTTCTTTGATAGCCATCAATGCCTCAACTCCTGGACTGGAGAGACAAAGGCCTTGTGCCACTCCAACAGCCTGTCTCAGAACATGCACCCCCCTTAAGCCCAAATCTCCTACCACAGGTCCCACACATCAAAGCCCCTCTAAACTCGTATTCCCAAATGGTCCTCTCTCAGAGGCCCCCAACTCTGTGCCTTCCATTTCTCTTGACCTGGGACGCTGGCACCTCTCTGGGAAGTTTTCTCCATCAACCCACCTTCTCAAATCTTCTGTCTCTCCTCCAGGACACTGACGTGTACCCCATACTAGGTTCTCTGCTGACTGACCCAAAGTTCTTCACCAGTCCCAAACATTTCAACCCCCAGAACTTCCTGGATGACAGAGGGCAGCTGAAGAAGATTGCTGCTTTTGTGCCCTTTTCCGTAGGTGAGAAAGCACCGGTTACTGGACCACTGTTCACCCAACAGGGTAGCTCATGCCAGCTCCCCTCTCTGGGATGCAATCTAGCATCCTTCTCCCGCATCAAGTTCCTCTTGGAATCTAACTTCCAGACAGCCAGGTGCAAACCCCTTACCTCCCAAGAAACAAACATCTGGACACGGGTCAAAGGGACCCCTTTCAGAGATGGGGAAGCAGAGCTCAGAGTCTGACATCTTTCCCGGGTAGTACAAGCAATTCTACGGACTCCAACAGCACAGCATCGGGTATCTGAGCGCGTAACTGGTAGAGGAAGCATTTTTGACGTTCCATTGCTACAGTCTAGAATGGGTTACTCTCACTGTACAGGGAAACTGAGGTTTAGAGAGGCTTAGGAGTCTTTCCCAGTGATCCCTCAGGCTCCTTGGGCCCTGATTTCCTGAAAGAACGCAGCTGGGCCCTGGGTACTGCAGCAAGGCAGCTGTGAGAGCTGCCTCCATCTCTGTGCTCCTCCTCTCTCTCCTCTGCAGGAAAGCGGTTCTGTCTGGGGGACGGCCTGGCTAGGATGGAGCTCTTTCTCTTCCTCACCACTATCTTGCAGAACTTCCGCTTAAAGTTCCCAAAGAAGCTGGAAGACATCGACGCGTCCCCCAAACCGTTAGGATTTTCCAGGATCATACCACGTTACACCATGAGCTTCCTGCCCATCTGATTCTGGAACCAACCAAGGTGGAGCAAAATGGGGGTAGAGTCTGGAGTGAGGCCAGAGGCAGAGCGAAGGGAGAAGGTGAAAATTGGGTTTAAGGGACCACATGCCTGGAAGAAAATTTATGCACCTACTTAAATTGGGATGCTAATAAAACGAATAACACTCAGTGGGCAGTGGTGATAGCAGCTGTCACTCACTAAGCAAGGTTTCCTTGTGCACTCTGTCAAAGTTGTCCCATCACCCTCTCATTTGGTACTGAGAACCAAAGAAGGACAGCATGTCCCCCCTTCCCGGTTTACAGGTGTCAAGGGTGGAGCTTACAAACTTGAGTCGAACCTCTGGTTTTAAAAGACTCGGGATACGGGATAGCTGTGTTTGGGGCACAGAACTTTAGCCCCAGCATTCAGGAGGGAAAAGTGAGTGGACCTCTAGGAGGCCAGCCAGGATTACACAGAGAGACCTTGTGCAAACCAACAACGACAAAACAACTAAGTTTATATCGAGTTGTCACAGGCCACAGAGCCCAGGTTGTACTTGAAGGCAGATCTGTAGCCAGAGTCGTTTGGGCAGGGTTTTTTTGTTTTTGTTTTTTTGGGTTTTTTGCTGTTTTGTTTAGGGAGTGTTTTTTTGTTTTGTTTTTCTTTTTGTTTTGTACATCCATCTCTTTGTTTGGGATATCTTATTTACATTTACTTACTGGTGTAGAAGACAAGGGACACGCTGTGGGAGTGTGTTCTCTTCTGCCTACATGTAGATCGTAGAACTCAACTCATATCATTAGGCTCGAGAGAAAAGGGTTTTACCCCCTGAGCCATCTCACCGGTCACTCAGGAGGTTCCTTAATGTCACCCTTTCCTCAGCCGAAGGGACCTGGCATATTCTTGCACATCCTGAACAATGCTTTCCGGTGTCTTTCTTCCACACCCCTGGCAGGCAGCTGATCTAGCTCCAGCACACACTGCCCCACAGCCTTGCTTTCTCGTACACGCTTCAATCACCAGGCGCACCCTCCAAGACCCCCTCCCCATGCCGGGTAAGCCCGCTGTGTCGGGCTCAGTCCATCAGGGAGATGGGAATAAAAGCGCCTTGACCAAAATCCAAGAGAATAACGAGTTATCACAGATCGGCAAGGAAGCCTGTGCTCACGCATGAAGCACACGTGGCTGTGTGACTGCCCGCTCTCCTCCGTCACATGCCCGTGAACTCTGCATGTGTTTTTAAAGGTGGACCCGACCTCAGCTGCAGGGCCCAGCTAACAGTGTTAGGATCTCCTGTCTGCTCCCATGTGATTCAGTGTAAAATCCCTAAGAGATGAAACCCTTAATCACCACACAATCCAAACACCTGGACACATCAGCCTAGGACCCCTCTGTGTCGTAAACGAAATGCTGGGAGCAGAACTGAAGAGATGGCTCGGCAGATAAATAGATTTCCACTCAGCCCTGAAAACTTGAGTTCCAGCCTCAGAGTCCATGTCCAACTACAGATGTGGTGGCACCAGCTGCAACCTCAGCTTCCTATGGTGAGACGGGAGGAAGGGATCAATAGATAAGCCGGGAGCCCTCAGGCCTGCTGGCCTGCTGTGTACCATTGTGTTTCATTACTATGAAGAGACACCATGACCATGGCTACTCTTATAAAGGAGAGCATTTAATTGGGGCTGGCTTACAGTTCATCATGACAGGACATGGTGGTGTGCAGGCAGACATGGTACTGAAGAGGAGCTGAGAGTCCTGCATCTTGATCTGCAGGCAGCAGAAGGAGGCTGTGTGCTATGCTTGGTGTGGCTTGAGCAGTGTAGCACACACTTCCTCTTACAAGGCCACACTTACTCCATCAAGGCCACACTCCCTAATAGTGCAACTCAAACACATGAATCTATGGAGGTCATACCTACTCAAAACCTCGGAGTCATGCAATGACAGAACAAGAAGCCTGCCTCAGACAAGGTAGGAGGGGATAACTGTCCCCCTAAAAGTTGCCCATTCACCCCTGGCTGTGGTACACACAATGTGACACATGCATGCCTCACACTCAAACATACATGATTTATTTATTGTGAATGCTACATACAGACATAGGTTGAGTCCTCCCTCCTCTCTCTCTCTCTCTCTCTCTCTCTCTCTCTCTCTCTCTCTCTCTCTCTCTCTCTCTCTCTCTCTCTCTCTCTCTCTCTGTCTCACTATCTCATACACCACACACACACACCTCACATTTTCAGGACTATGTCTCCATAATTCTTACAACTTCCCAATTTGGATCATTCAATTTCCATTATTCTATTGCTGGCAATATAGGATCGATTTGTGCTGAGGGCTGAAGGGACCCCCACCCCTGTGCATATATTTTCACACACACTCTAGAAAGCAGCCCGGCATCACAAACAAACTACTTTATCCCAATGGATATCTCCTAAAAGGCCTCTGGAAACCTCAACTCAGGGGATCAGAACTTTGGATAATAAAACTATCAACCAGTCCTTGGAATTCTCCTATATTTATCATTATAAAGAAATCTGGAAAATAGAGAATGTTAACAGATTTAGCCAATAGACTCTTTACAGCCTGGAATTCTCTTGCCTTCTCTATTACCTAAAGGAGGATCTATTATAGTTATTAATTTCAAAAACTGATTTTTTTACTGAACCTTCAAAAGTACAGGATAGAGAGAAATTTGCCTTCACAATGCCCACTTATAATAATTTCTAACCTATTAGAAGAGGCCATCGGAGGGTTTTGTCACAAGGAATGTTAGACAGCCCCACCTTGTGTCAATATTTTGTGCAACAGCCATTGGAAATAATTCAAAGCTGTTGGGGAAGTCCTGTGTATATGTCAATAAAGCACTGTTGGCCAATAGGGAAGCAAGATAGGTGGGACTAGGAGTCGAGGAGGACTCTGGGTAGGAGAAACACAGGGAGTCACAATGTAGCCGCAATAGGGATAAGAAGTTCGGAACCATTCTCCGGTAAGAGAAATACTTAGATTAACAATTATGGGGTAAATACTTAAGTCTGAGCTAGCCAGTAAGAAACGAGCAAGGCCAACAGCTTCATAATTAATACAGCGTCTTGTGTGTTATTTGGGGACTACAAGGCGGCAGAGCCCAGGAGACTGGCGGGGGATAAACCAAAGCTGCTGGCAAGGAAAAAGCTTCTCTTTACACAAAGCAGCTTCCTCAATCTATAATTTATCATTATATGGATGATATCTTACTACTGACTTTGGTGCAGATACCTTAGGAAAGAAAATGTTTGATGAAGTAAAGGGAATTTTACCTTGCTGGGGATTACAAAATGTTCCTGAAAAATACAAAGACGTGATTCTATTATTTACCTAGGATATAAGTTAGGTTTACAGTAAATTCAACCAAAGAGTCAAATCAGGAGAGATCAATTATGAACTCCTAATGGTTTTCAAAAGTTGCTGGAACATAGTAGTAACTGGCTATATCCCACAACTGGATTAGCAACTCAAGACCTAAGTAATTTATTTCAAACCTTACAAAGTGATAAGAACTTGAAAAGTCCAAGAAAATTCTCAGCTGAAGCTGAGAGGGAGTCGGCAGTCAGAGGCCAAGGGGTGTTTGGTGTAGGACCCCACGTTGCTGGGGTATCTGTCAGGTCCAGCCGACCTGAGACAGGGAGTGTGGATTGAGAAAAGGAATAGGCAAGAGACAAGTGATACAGTCAGGAGGGTACCTGGTAAATGCCAGGATCAGCCCACGTTTATTGTTCAAAGATCTTTTATGCCCCCATCAAAAGAGGGAGAGAAGGCAAAAGACTTCCTCACCAAAATACAAAGAACAAGTAAGCGTAATTACCGCCTCAATACCCAAAACATCAAGTAACCATATCCTGAGTTAAGTAGTGTGTTGTTTAGGCAAGACAGGCAGCAACCACATCCTAGGTCAAACATCCTGCTACATTCGCATCTTAAGCCAGACATCTGTTGTCAAGTTAAGACACACACTAACACAGCTTAAGCCAAACATCTGTTGTTTCAGCTTGGAAGAGCAAGGGCAGGTAAAAACTCTCTGACTTAAGTCAAAATGAAATGGAGCCATTTTTATGGGCCCCAACAGTATGGCAGCCAGGAGTTCTCACAGAACCTTCCCCAGGATGCCCTGCCTAGCTGCAACATCATCCTGACTCTGGGCAGTATCAGGATATCCAAGACTACTCTCTGTGGTGGTCCAGTATTTATAGTGGTTCAGAAACCAGAAACCTTGAACCAGACCAATGACCTGTTGCAACAAATATTCGCATGTAAGTTGTCTGGGCAAAAGCATATATATATATATATATATATATATATATATATATATATATATATACTGAGTGACTGAGTGACACACTGCAGTTTCCAATGCCACTACTATGAAAGAGTGTTCAATGGAGAGGTGGGGAGGATGGAGAAATGAGTGGCGATTGTACAGGGGAGAGAGGCAGAACTACAGATGAGTTGGTGGTGACAGGTGTGAGACGGGGACATGCCCTTGCTAAGTTGGGCCAACAGGGTGCTGTGCAGCAGCCTAGAGCCTGCACAGACTCAGCCCCCAATCATGCTGCCCAACCGAAAGGTCACCCTGGTTCTGAGCAATGACAGGATGTCTGGATTGGACCTCCTCAAAAGACCTCTATCACTGATGTCTGTAATCTATGCTGCTGCCATGTCTGGGTTCATGGTTTTACTGCCGTCAGAGGCCGTGTTGATATCTGTGGTTCATGTTACCACCAAAGGCCAGGTAGATGTCCATGGTCTGTGATGCTGCCTGAATCTTTGTTGATGCCCATGGGCCAGGCTACCGAGGAGACCATATTGATGTCCTTGGCCCATGTTGCCACAGACACCATGTTGATGTCCTTGGCCTGTGCTCCTGCCGAGGGCTAGGATGGTGTCAGTGGCTCATGAAGTGCTGATGTCCATGGTCTGTACTGTCACCAGAGACCATGCTGAGGTCAGTGCCATGTGGATGTCTGTGGTCTGTGCTGTCACCAGAAACCATGTGGAAGGCCATGATCCATGCTCCCCCTGACTGTAAAGGACAGGGAAGCTAGTGTTATAGTGATATCGATGACTACAGACTCACAGTTGAGAAAGAAGCATACAGAAGGCTCCTGTGACAACCCCTTGCTTACTCCACCCCACCCAACCCACCATAAAGTAACAGCCTAGACAGAAAACTATCCAAGAGAACTCTTAAAATTGTGGTAAGGATGCTGAAGTGTATCTCTCTACAATTTTGATGAAGGTTCTGGGGCGGGGTGGGGGGGAGCCTCGGTTTTCTTTAAGGGGCTGGATGGCCACTGGGAGTTTGACCATGCTCCAGTGAGTTTATGAGCAACATAATTTTTTCTTTTTTTTCTCTTCTTTTTTTTGGGGTGGGGGTCTGAGGTGGACCTGGGAGTACTAGGAAGTGAGTGTGGTCAGGATGTATGACGTGAAATTCCCAAATAGGTCATGCTCATTCTTTTCTTTACTGATGCTTAAATACAACACATTTCGATTTATTTGCTTTCATTTATATGTATATGAGTGTTTTGCCTGCATGTGTGTAAGGGCAATGTATACATGCCTGGTGCCTGAAGAAGCTGGGAAGGAAAATTGGATGCCCTGGAACTGAAGTTACAGGAGGTTGTGAGCCACCGTGGAGGCTCTGGGAATTAACCCAGTATCCTCTGTAAGAGCTGCTCTTAGCCACTGAGCAACACTCCAGCCCTGAACATACTATTTTCTCAGTCTTGCCCTCTATCCCTGATATTCTTCCTTCTCCTGGGTCCAGTGCGTGGATCCAGTGCGTTACTGGTTATTTCCACTCTGCTTTTTCATTTGCTTTTACTTTACCGAGTTTTTCATTCCCAGCATGTTTTCATGTTGTTTGTTCTGCAATCCCTTGTTGAATTTCTTTTCCACCTTGCTGTCTTTTTCATCTATATTGCTAATTCCTCGGGCATCTTTACTGCCTTCTCTCCTACGTGGCTGACTTTCCTCCCGAGGTACCAGGCTGGCTTCCTGACTGCACTGACGAAGCATGTCCTTTTTTGAGGTCATCAGTCACTTTTGCTAAAAAAAACTTTGGAGATCCCCGCCTGACCTTCCACCCTTCTCCATGTCTTTGAATGCGGCTGGACCAATCCTGATGTCTTACTTTTCCACGTTTTCTGTGTATCTGGGCTGCAGTTGAATGAGACCTCTGCTTTCCCTGCTAGGGAGTCACACAGCTGGCACTGTTTTCGGCGTGGCTCTCTGGTTTTGTTACGTCACCCTTCAGGCTTTCTGTGCTTCCTGCTGATCTATGATGCCTTGAGGACTTCAAAAGGTCTTCTGCTCTCATGCTGATCTATATGCCTTGAGGACTTCAAAAGGTCTTCTGCTCTCATGCTGATCTATATGCCTTGAGGACTTCAAAAGGTCTTCTGCTCTCATGCTGATCTATATGCCTTGAGGACTTCAGAAGGTCTTCTGCTCTCAATCTTGCTTTGGAATGCTGTCTAAAGTTTTCTTACCCCGCCTGATCTCCAACTGACCACACAGAAAATGCTTCTAGTCAACTTTCTACAGAAAAGTTCCTTTAAGTCACTTTTATTGATGTCACATCTTTGAGTGAGAATCTCACAATCTAGCACTAGCTGGCCTGTAACTCACTGCATAGCCCATACTAGCCTTACTCATGGCAACCATCCTGCCTTTTTTTTTTTAATTTTATTTATTTATTACACATACAGTGTTCTGCCAGAAGAGGGCACCAGATTGAATTGTAGATGGTTGTGAGCCACCATGTGGTTGCTGGGAATTGAACTCAGGACCTCTGGAAGAGCAGTCAATGCTCTTAACCTCTGAGCCATCTCTCCAGCCCCCCATCCTGCCTTATAGTGCCCAAGTAAAGGAATTACAGGCAGGCCAGTGATTTGAATACTAAGCCTCAATCTTATCATCAGTAAAACAGACATGAATACAGTTCCCTTCCCCATATAGGTTCTTGAGGACTAAGTGATCAGTGTATTGCATACCCAATGAAATTCCCATGGAATTCTTGCACAATCAACAATAGCTTTAATTATTACGATCGGTGTTCAGATACGACGGGAAGGCATCCCAGCCTCTCTTCCCAACTTTGAAGAACCCGTCTTCAGGAAGGTGATCACTCTGCTCAGCTCTCTCTCTCTCTCTGTGTAATACTTCAGGCCCCAGACTTCCCTCTAATTTTCATGCTCTCCTTTAGCCCTACCCGGATTGGCCCCACCCCATTAGCCCCGCCCTGTTTCTGGACATGCTCATTGTCTCCACCCATCAGAGTTCCCGCTCAGCGAGGCAGGAAGCTCATGGTGAATTTTGGAGGGATTGCGGCAAAGCTGAAATATTGTGGGGTCACATCTATGTCTTGGGGTGCCTGTGGGGACTTGAAGCAGAAATTCTGCATGATGGTTGTGAAGAAGATGAAGAGCTCCATCTTAGCCAGGCTTTCTCCAAAACAGTATCGCTTTCCTGGAGAGGAGAAGGAGTAAAGGAAGTGACGTCAATCATCATGTTGCTTCACCCTATGCCAGGCCAGCAGCTGGATTCCCCAGGGAACGGGCTTGCAGCACTGTCTGAGGGACCTTTCTGAGCCTCGATACCCTTGTGCATGAGGGGAGGGGAGGGGAGGTGATCCCTGACAGGCAGGCACAATGAGGAGTCTAGATGCCCCTCCAACAACCAGACGCTCAACTATGACTATTCTGCGACCACCTACTAAGACTTGTCTGTGTGAATCAATTTTTTTCTATCTCTAAAAGGGGTTTGATCATGCCTCTCCTTTAGCCTGAGTCCACAAGGAAATTGCACTTGGTTGGCTGGAAGGTGGACTCCGACAGTTAAGTTCCAAGCTGGAGAGAGGTCCAACCCTACACTTCAGAGAGACGAGCTAGGAAGTGTTAGCCCTGTTTGTGAGAGCAGGGGCCTCTTACCAACGGAGAAGGGCATAAAAGCATTGCTCTTCTTAAACTGTCCCTTGTCATCCAGGAAGTGCTGGGGGTTAAAGTCGTTGGGGTTGGAGAAGAACTTGGGGTCCTTCAGCACAGAGCTCAGTACAGGGAAAACGTCAGTGCCCTGAAAGACAGAAGCAGCGGAGACTGAGGAGAAGGCAGGACGGGAGATGAGCATCCTCGGAGATCACAGGCTTGGAAGGAAGAGGAGAAAGGGGTCACAGAGTGTGCTAAGTGAGGAGCATCGGGGAATATGAGGTTGACATCCCTGGGACAGGATCTCTTGGATAAGTGGTGGTCTGTGGGTTCTGAGAAAGATCGTTTGAGGGATGTGGGGTCTGTGTGTCCTGGGGACAGGTTGTTGAGGAATGAACAAGCTCACGCCTATCAATTCAGGAGGTCATGGAACTGGGAGGTTCACACTCCAAGACACAGAGAGTTTGGGATGCTCGAGGTTTGTGTACCTCAGCTAGATGTTTGCAGGCCGGAACAGTCTTCCACCTAAGTACCAAGTTCTAGGGAAATTGGCTCATGTTCCTTACACCATAGGGTTAATCCCTGGGAAAGCTGGGGGAGATCCAGAATCCAGGACTCTGAGTAGTTTAGCTTAAAGGGAGTGATGAGGGAGCAAGCATTTGTTTGAGAAAGAAGGACAGTCTAGAAAACTCCATGTGGCATGGGCTGTGGGACCCAAGGAGTGGACTGAAGGTTCCTTCAGGTGGGGCAGGGAATCACCTTGGGAATGAGGAAGTCCCGAAACTTGATGTCCTTGGTGGTGCTACGGGGCAGACCCAAAGGAACCACATCTACAAATCTCTGGATCTCGTAGATGACAGCCTCAGTGTAGGGCATCTTCAAATGGTCCTCATACTTGGGCTGCCTGTTCCTGCCAATCACCTGGTCAATTTCCTCATGCATCTTGGCTGATTAAATATGGATTACTTAAATTAATATAGGGAATATTAAATTAAACATTAAATTATTTGCTTAATAATAAAATATTTAAAATATTAAATTAAACACAGGGAATAGAGAGTGAATATGCAAATCCCAATGGTGATGTAGAATTATGGGTGGCATGTTATAGACCATTTGCAGTAGATGTTGGCCATATGTGGTGCTGGAGTAGGGTTCCATTAACGTTCTTGGACCAGCATTACGTACATTTGCAAAAGAGATTTACCGAATGGCCTAAAAAGAACAGGCAAGGGACCTTGTATGGTTGAGAGTAGTTTACAAATCAGTTCAGGCCTTCCCAGTATTTTAACAGCTAGTAAGACTCAGCTTAAGACGGATAGTTTGCAGGGATAGACTAGCACCCCAGGACCTCCACTCACACTGAGCTCTCTAAACAAGGCAACCAATCACATGCATCCCAACAACCTAGAGCACCTCCATAGCGACATTGGTGGACATGAACTAGAGCCAATGGGCCAATCCAGCCTGAACAGGTCCTAGGTGCATGCAGAGTAAAGCAAATTGTATCTTTGAGTGAACTTTTAGGGAAAACAACCCATTGACCATCTTATGCCACGGTCATAAGTGATTGGGCATACTCATAATTAAAATGACATGCATTGTGGGAAATCACATGCCTAATTAACAAAGGCTTACCTAACTCAAGCCTATTAATCTGGGCACAAAACCACCCACACCCTACTTCTACCAGCCAACTCTTCCTCCTCCTGAACCCAGAAAAGGAAGCCTCAGCAAATCCCGCTCAGCCCGCTGCTCCTCTGCAGTGTAGCTATTCCTTTCACTTTCCCCATGATATGCAAAAATCCCTCAAGGCTTTGCCGTGTGTTGTGTGCCGTACTTCTTCAGAGTTTCTTAAAGAAGGTGTTATGAACCTGGAGATGCAGGTCAGACACCGCCTGGCACTCACAAATAGATGTCTATCACATCAGTCTTAATCCTGTCTCTGCATAGCAGAGATGTTCTGAGTACCCAAGATCTGAGAGAGCTGGGGTTAGGGTAGCCGATTTCTAGCAAGTTGGGGAGGGGAGGGTGTGGCCTCCACCTCCATGTGCCCTGTAGGCTTGCCTGCAATGTGAGGGTACTTCATGAGCAGCAGGAAGCCGTAACGCGTGGTTGTGCTGACGGTCTCTGTACCCGCGAAGAAAAGGTTCAGTGTGGTCATGAGCAGGTTCCTCATGTGAAACTGAGTTCGAGGGTTCTTCTTCTCCTACAGGGAAGGGAGCATTTGTGGTAAGTCCATTATTACTCCTTGGGGCACTACTGAAAGTCTCCCTCGCATTCGCTTATCTTAGGTCGGATGTAATGTGGACAAGAGACCCTGATCAACCAGCTCTCCCCAGGTGCTGGATCTCCACAGAATTTCTTCCTGGGTCTTTCCCTGGGGGAATCTACATCCATTTACTAGCAACTTCATTGTAACTTGATTCACTAATAATGATGTTTTAAAAGACAGGAGGAGGTAGTAAGGGGAGAGGGGGGGGGACAGAGATGAAGGAGTCATGAAACTTAGAAGCGGTTCCCATGAGATGGAGCATCAGATTTTGGAGTGACCCCATCTCACTCCTTTTTGTGTGTGCACGCGTGCATATGTGTGTGAGTTCATGTGAGTGAGAGAGAGAGTGTGTGTGTGTGTGTGTGCGTGTGTGCGTGTGTGCGTGCATGTGTGTGAGAGAGACAGAGAGAAAGAGAGAGTGTGTGTGTGTGTGTGTGTGTGTGTGAGTTATTTTCAGGTACATGCGTGCATGCTGGTGCCCATTCCCATGAGTACACATGAGGCAACCAGAGGAGGGCATTATTCCTTTGAGACAGAGTCTGGTGTTGAATGATTGGTGGTCCAGCAAGCGAGCACTCTTAGCCCCTGAGCCTCTCCCCAGCATCACTTTCCATCTTTGGAAATACAGATCCCATAAATCCTCATCTTATTTCTCAAAGGCAGGAAGTAGATGTGCCTGTGACTGTGAGGCCCCACTGTGGTCACATTTTAAAGCCAGGTCGCATATCCACATGGGCGTATCTGAGGACCAGGGTAAGAGAGATTTGAGAGAATTCTGCTTGCAGGACACTGCCTTGGAACCAGAGACCAGCGGTTTCAGACAGACCACTCTGCTCCTTGACTGCCTGCCCCTAGACAAGAAGTCTAACCTCTCTGGGTTGCATTTTCCCAATTCTAGACCTAGGGTCAGAGTGGAATGTGCTCCCAAGCCAGTGTTGGTTCTAAATGGGTGAGTACTGTCAAACACTGAAAACCAGGGCCTGGCACCTGGTGGCGCTGTGGGAGCGGCTGATGTGCATGTTTGCACACACTTGTTCTCTTGCGTAAGGGCTCAGTCGGTGGGTGAGTGACACTAATTGTGAGGAGAAGGTGAGGATGACTATGCTGGGGGCTAAGGTGCATGAGCTCCTGCTCCTGCTCCACCCAACCCCAGGCTTTGAACCATCCACCATAGCTACTGGGAGCACCTCCTGCATGCGGATGAGGAAGGAGTCGATGAAGTCCCGGGGGGAGTTGGGGTCCAGGGTGCGTTGGTTCTCTTCCACCTTCCTGGCTATGAAGTCCTCCAGTCCCTGCATTTCCTTATAGGCCTGGTGCTGGCATCCTGGCAGGTGCTTCATCACTGAATAGAACATCTCAAAGAGCTGGAACGGGAGAGCAAAAATGATGGGAAGACAGCTGTCAGCATCAGGACCCAAGAGGCATAAGACTTGAGTAGGAGCAGAGAAGGCTTCAAAGCCTTCCCCTGGTCTCTGTGGATTTAGCTGGTGGTTGAAGGGAACACGGGTATGTTTCCACGTGGGCTTATCCCTGAAATCGGGTAAAGAAAACTGGGGCCCGCCTACAGCATCAGACACTGGGAAAGGACTGACAAAGGCAGAAGCCAATGCCGACGTTCAGCGGTGTGCCGTTGTCGGGTGGGTCTGCTGTGCCATACCACAGGTGCCTGGCACTCAGGAAGGCCAGGTTGGCACAGCTTTCCAGATAACTGCTTTTGGGTTGTGGATTGCTGTGCATGTGTTTGGACGTTAAGCGAGGTTGTTTGCCATCGTTATAGCGGAGAAAACGTGGGTGCAAGTGTTTGGGTGTTCAAGTGTGTTGCCTTGAGTGCTTTTTCGAGGTTCACTGAACAGTCCTGCTGGAGAACACACCTGTGGGTGTGTGTAGATAATCTGTCCAGGTCCTTATGTGTTTGGAGTCTCAGTTAAGGTACCTGTTCGGGTTTTTGCTCATCCTTGTGGACTGATTACATACAACTTATGCAGACATGTTTAAAGGCATTTGTAATACATTAATTATTGTATGTATCTCTGTGTGGGTGTGTGTACATGATTGCAATGCCAAAAGTGTTGGATACCCCTGGAGCTGCAGTCACAGGCTGTTGCGAGCCACTTAAAGTGGGTGCTGGGAATTAAGCGTGGGTCCTCTGGGAGAGCAGCCAGTGCCCTTAACCACTGTACAATCTCTCCAGCCCCTTGTCTAGGTATCTCAATGGACCAGTTCAGGACATGTACATGAGGGACGTAGGGTTGTGGTGTGTTGGGTTCCATCTGATATTAATATATGTATGAGGGACCTGAGGTAACCGCTTCTCTGCGTGAAGTCTTCCAGAAGGGCTCGGTAGCAGCAACTGTCAGAGGTTAAGGTAACCAGGGAGGGGACACCTGCTCCGGAAGGAAGGCTGGATGGAAAGGCTTGCACACTCTGATTTGGTCGGCATCTGCTGAGATAATCAGTTGCCATGGGGATTCTGTATTGGTACCTTTCTTAGGGTTTGATCTCACTATTTAGTTGTCCGAGATGGGAGCATGTTTGAGGAGATCACCTCCAGAGAAGGATGTTCAATGGGCGCACTGGTGGCCATGGTCACGATTCAGAGGGAATACTGAGCTCCAGCTGAGGGTTGAGCTGGTTACCTGTCCTGTTGAAGTAGACATGAACTGGAAACTTCGCATTATCATGCCCAACAGTGACAAGAATTCCTTGTCGTCATATTCAAAGCGGTTCCCAAACACAATGGAACTGATGACGTTGGAGACTGTCCGGCTCATGTAGAAGGTGGGGTCTATTGTGGCACCTGGGAGGCGGGCCAGGGTTGAAAGGGAAGGAGATTGGGGAAGCGCGTCTCAGTTGATGGCGGTGTGAGCCCTAAAGATTGGGCGCCTTTCCCAAGTCCCCACTGTCTGTCTCCATCACTCTTCAAAACCTGCTGCTTCTCTTGTCTGTCCCGTGTGCTCCATGACCCCCAGCCTCACCGTTTGTGTCCCGCAGGGCCTGTATGAGAAAGCTGGTCTCCTCTATGGTGCGCTCCTCAATGCCACGTTTTCCAAAGCCGAAGTCCCTCAGCGTGGCGATGGAGAAGCGCCTGAGTTGCTTGGCGCGCTCCCCGGAGCTGAACACCACACCTGGGATCCCAACACAAGCACAGGAATTGGTTAGAGCGGCACCTTTGGGCAATGTAGCAACTCTAACCAGATCCTGGAGGCTGTGGGTTTGGGCAAAGGGCTGGAGTTGGACATGAAATGTTGAAAAACCAATAAAAAGGAGAAAGAGGGACCAGAGAGAAGGCTCAGCAGTTAAGGTCACTGGCTTTTTGCTAGATGATCGGGGGTTTGTTCCCAGATTCTGTGTGTGTTAGCTCCGAGCAGTCTGTTAACTCCAGTTCCAGGGAATCAGATGCCCACTTCTGGCCTCCATGGGCACCAGGAAGGCACATGGTGCATGGACATCATGCAGGTAAAACAAATAAAAATAATTAGTAAGCCCAAAAACATAATTATTAAAAAGAATTAATAATTATTAAGTGGTGGCACACACCTTCAATTCCAGAGCTTAGGAGGCAAAGACGGGTGGATCTCTGTGAGTCTGAGACCAGGTTGGCTACACAGAGAAACCCTGCCTTAACAAGCAAAATTGTTAGAGAGAGGATAGAGAGCCACACGGAGAAGCAAGGAGAAAAGCCAAAGTGAGAGGGTGTGGATCACAAAACATGAGATTTGGAGACCGGGGAGTGGATTTAAAAATAATGACTGGTTCTAAATGGGGCTGATAAAGCGAAATACAGGCAGAGCCTGGATAGAACTCCGTGGGGCTCTGAAACAGACCTCGTGTGAGATCTTCACAGAGGAAGAAGCAACGGGGGTCGCAGGAGAGCACAAGATGACTAAATGCAAAGATGCTCAGATGAAGCTAAAACAGCGTGTTAGGAAGCAGGGTCCCAACAGGTGCTGAGAGCTCAGTTGACGTCCCTGGGAGGCCTGTTCTTTTCAGGGGTGGGGGAGTAAGGGGGAGGTTGGGATGTGTTGTATGAGAGAAGAATAAATAAAAAGAAAAAAAAAGAGTTGGCACAGTCTGGGGTTAAGAGATGACTCGGTAATCTGGAGTATGTACTGTTTGTTGCTAAAGACAGAGTTCAGTTCCCAGTTCCACAGCTGCCTGTAACGCTGGCTGTATGTGATCTGATGCCCTCTTCTGGGCTTCATAGGCACAGATAAACATGTGCACACACACACACACACACACACACATGCACACACACACGAGAGAGAGAGAGAGAGAGAGAGAGAGAGAGAGAGAGAGAAAGAGAGAGAGAGACCTTAAAAAATATAACAAACTATCTTTAAGAAAAATTTTAAAGGCCAGAGGCTAGTGTCCCATGCCTTTAGTTCCAGCACGTGGGAGAAACAGGCAGGCAGATCTATGAGTCTGAGGCCAGCCTGGTCTACAGAGTGAGTTCCAGAACAGCCAGGGCTACACAGAGAAACCCTCACCATAGCCTTTGAAGAACCAGTCGAAGAAAGCTTGCTCTCCTCGGTCACTGAGCTCCTCAGCCTGGTCAATGAGAGCCTCCTTCACAGCATCGTAACCCCACAGCATCACAGCAGGGCGAGGCCCCAGGTGGATGGTGAACACAGGGCCATACCGCTCCCTCATCTGAGGGGAGACGCCAGGAGTTAGAGAAGCCACTCTTAGGACGGCCATTGTCCCAATGTCAGGGACTTGGATGCAGACCCCTAGGCCCCCATCCTATGTCCACATTCTGACCTGGTCCGGCTTCTGCCTCACACTCCCGCCTCGGACTCCCAGACACCACTTGTCAAACTCACCCATCTCCCTGCCCGGTACTACCTTTGAAAGGCAGTCATAAAACTTCTCTGTGTCCAGCTCCAGAAAGTTCCCAATAAAGGGCAGTGGGGTGGGTCCTGGAGGCATCTTCCTCAACAGTCTCCTCTGCCTCCACACAGACATTATGATCATGACGCTGAGGCAGGTCAGCACAACCACGAGGAGCATCCCGGACACCAGCATGGTGGCAGTGGGAAGGACAGCACAGGTAGATGATGACGGGGACAGTGTGCCTTTATACTCTAGGCTGGAGGGGTGGCTTTGGCTTCTGCTTAATAATTACCTCATTTTTCCTCCTAACTATTGCCCTGACATACAACTGCCTTGTTTATGACACCAGCTGCAAGGACGGAGGAGGGCTCACCTCTGGGCTGGTTTTCATGTAGCGGATTCCAAGGCAGAAGAAGGCATGCCAGGATTGTGCAATGGAATGGGAGTGTGGGTTAGGAAACATCTGGAAACACCCACATCGAGGGTTGAGGGTCTCAAGGGAGAAAGCGCTTCACAGACATGCAGTTAGGGTTTTAGGAAAGAGTCCAAGGGTGTCTTGCTGTAGAGACACTCAATTGGTCTGGGTGGTGGAAAGGAGATGGAATGCCAGTCCTAAACAAATCTCTAACAGCCATGCTTGTGAACTCAGGAAATCCCTTCTCTTTGCTGGCCTCAGGGTCCCAGTGGCTGGATTGTCATTATTGGATGGATGGCAAAGACCATGACTGAGGCTAGGGTTAGGATCTTAATCTTATCCAGATGTTGTGGTGTGACCACGAAAAGTTGATGTGATTGTTTGAGCCTCATGGGACCAGTGACAACATCCTCTTTCAGGCTATTTCAATGAGGCACGAACCATTGAAGTCACAAAGGTTACCAACAACAGATGTGCTCAGCAAACGGCAGCTGTTTCAATTTTGTGGCTAGTGGAGTTTATCAGTGTGAAGCTGGCAGGGCTTTTCTTCATGGTCTCCCCTGGCTTTCACCTCCTCTAATCAACTCTCCCAAAGTCTCTCTTTGGAGGGGAGACAGGAGACGAGGAGTGTTTCAAGGTGGACACACTCCTCGGCCTTACTCATGAGGCCCAGGCCACCTCTCTGAGCTGAGGGCAGGGAGCTTTCCTTCCCCACGGACAGACAGGAAGACAGCAGGGAAGACTGGAAGGAATCAGGAAGGAATCTGAGAGGCAGGAAGAAGGCTAGCAGGTGTGGGAAAGGGGGGAGAGAGAAATGGAAGACCACGGTGGTAAGTGCGGTGAACACAGGATAGGAGTGACAGGAGTGACAGGAATAGTCGTCATGAAACCATGTACAGCTTTTACACCAGCTCACAGGATGCAAAGCTGAGGGGATATTGGCAACCGACAGCTTCTGGGAAAGGGAGAACTGTTTCCTTTAGGGTGGCTCTCATAGGTCGACCGTGCTTCAGGGAGCACCCATTCATCCAAGAGAGTACCGGAAGCACCAAGCGCAAGAGGATGGCTTAGATGTTGAGGACACTTGTTGCCCTTGAAGGGGACCTGAGTCCCACCCTCGGCGTCCACACGGCAGCTCACAACTGTCTGCAACTCCCCTCCCAGGGGATCCAACTCCTTTTCCCGACGTCAGTGGGAGCCAGGAATGTGCATGGTGGACATATTATACTTGCAGCCAAAGTGCTCACACGTATAAAATGATTGGATAAAAGTGCTAAAAGAGAACACAAGGCTGAATGGGCGTGAGCTGAGGTGGATCCAGGAGGAGTCTGGGACAAAAGAATAAATAAGACAAACATATTCGAAATTCCCAAGGAGCCAACACCAAGATGCACAGCTCAGGTAATATGGAGACAGATAAAGACTGACGATAAGCAGTAGACGATGCCACAAGAGCAATAGAGGGAAGCAGGGGCGTGGACAGAGGCCACCGCTGGTAGACATTAATTGACACACAGGGCTGGAGAGTCAAGCATGAGAGAGTGGGACGGCCGAATGGAGACACCAAGAGACGCTGTACGTAGGGATCAGAGGTCTCCCCTTTCTGTCCTCACTCCTGTCTGTCCTCCTTTCCCTCCACTCCTGCCTCCTCTCTGTCTCGGATGCCCTGTGTTTCTCTCATCTGTTCCCAACGCTTGGCATTTCCTATTCCACTTCCTCTGCGAGTGCTCATGGGCAGTGCCCATGGCTGTCCATCCTGTGCCTCAAGCCTGGTGCCCAGAGCTGAGTGAAGCTTATTGTTCAGGACCCGACAGGTGGTCTCACCCTGCGGCAAGTTCAGCATCTGAGCAGCAGGAACTGTCCAGGGCCCCACGGCTGAGCTCAGGGATGCCAAATGCAGACAACTGGGGGAAACTCTGGGGGTGAGTCCCCTACCTCTTTCTGCAGAGTTGGAAATGGTGTCTGTGAGAGATGATGTCCAGACTAGAGACCCACTGATCACTCTTTCACAGCTGTCCAATAAGAGCTGAACAAACACTTACTTCCCAAAGGCTATCATCGTCATCATTAATTTTGTGAAGCCTTTACAACTATGACATCTCCAACCCAGAGGACCATTGACTTCTTTAGGCCTTTGGGACTGAAATTCAGCTTTGCGTGTTTGCGTGACACTGCATGGCACACACTCTGTGTTGAATAAACAAATCCAGGAAGATCCCTGTGCTGGTAAATTGCAACACAGCTGTGAACCTTGGCAGAAGGAGCCTGTCGTGACTGCCTTTTGGCAGACTCACAGTCCCTTCCAAAGGGTCCTTGGCCTAAAGCACTGCACAGCTTTGGGATTTTGGGTGAGATGTCATTACCAACCCTTCCTGAAGTGTTTCCTCTTGATCCAGAGTCAGGGACAAGAAAGGACCCTGAGAAAGAGTCCTGCAGCCCTGGTGCTCTGGTCTACCTGCTAAGAGCTGCCCTCTCCTCTCATGGTGCCTTTATCTCGGGCTAATGTGTTTCTGCATTAACAAGCAACCTGCATGTCATGCAAATATGCTGCCAGAAGCAGTGACTCAGCTGAGTTTCATCCTGGAGCAGTCTCCTCCTGCATCCTCCCAGGATCTGCCACGAGAGCACACACATCTAAGTGACCTTGGCCAGATCCACCTTCTCAACTGCACGGGGAACACCCTCCACTTTACTTCAAGCAAGTTCATAGAACAGGATACAATGCATCCGAAAGTGTTGGAACTATACAAAGATCATTTCTTGCCATAATGAGTGAAGCTAGAAATCAATGACCAGGGAAACTGAAAAATGGGTCAGTATGAGGAGAAAGCTCCCAATTCAAATATCCTCTATGGTGGAGAAATGAAAATTCAGTGTATTTGTGGTACGCCAGGGATGTTTTCATGTGTGCATCCATTGCGAAGTGGGTAAAATCTTGGGAAGTGACATAGCAGAGTCTCAAACCTTGGTGCCTGGTGGGAAGAAATGTAATATGAGAAGGAGAATGGGAACATGATGGCTAACCCTGAGGTGCATCTCACCTGTTTCTTTGCACAGAGAAAAACATACACCAAAAAAAAAAAAAAACACCTGTCCTAAAAACAAAGCAAGTCCCAGTTTCAGCTTTTTTTTTAAACACTGCATCACTTTTTTGTTCAGGCTGCTCTCAAACTCTTGAACTCAAATACTTCCATATCAGTTTCCTGAGTGCTGTGGTCCTAGGCATGTGTCGTGATACCTGGCTCATTAAATAAACAGTGGGGCATGGCATTACTCATTAAAATGTCAAATTGTTTTTATTTACACGTCACTGTGAGGGCTTTTGATTGTGTAGAAAGATCAACAGAATTAGCATCAGCCAATTCAACTGATGGAAAACAGAGCTGTGGTGCCAAGGACTGAGTCAGAACTATAAATGGGACATTGTTCTTGATGTCATGGAAGTAAGAAGCGGGTGTTGGAGGGTTGACTCATCAGTTAAGAGCACCCTCTGCTCTTGCAGAGGACCAAGGATGGCTCCCAGCACCTATATGGCAGCTCACAACCATCTGTAACTCTAATTCCAAATGAGCCAACCCGTCTTCTGGCCTCCTCGGGCACTGCATGCACAGGGAGCACATTCTAGTAAATGGGCACACACACATGCACGTCAACTAAAGTGTAAGCGAGCACTATCAACCACTGAGCAATTTGTGCTGGGGTAAAGGTGATACGGAGCTTGTGGGAGTGACCAAGCAACAACTGGTCCAACTTGAGACCCATGCTAAAGGGGGAGCCCACCCCTGACACTGCCTCGCGGGCCAGGAACCAAAGGCTGGACAGCCCTGAGACATAGGATAGAACCAAACATAACTTGTAAAAAAGAAAAAAGTCAATGCAATGAATCCTAATGATCCTCGTAGACCTGAGCCTAGCATAATCATCGTCAGAGAGGCTCCATCCAGTGACCAATAGAAACAGATACAGAGACCCACAGCCAAACATGCGGCAGAGCTTGGGGGATCGTGTAAGAGCCAGAGGAGTCAGGGCAGCACAAGAACACGGATCGCAGGATCGATTCAGGAGGTCTTCTAGGGGCTCTCAGAGACTGAAGCAACTATCAGGGAGCCCTGCGGGTCTGTCCTCGGTCCTCTGTATGTATGTCATGGTTGTGTAGCTTAGTATTCCTAAGGGACTCCTAACCGTGGGAGCAGGGAGCTGTCTCCTACTCCTTTGCTGACTCTTGGGGCCCTTTCCCTCCTGTTGGGTTGCCTCGCCAAGCCTTGATATGAGGGAAGTATCTCATCTTATTGTAACTTCCTATGACTTGTTCAGTTCGTATCCCTGGGAGGCCTACTCTTTTCTGAAGGGAAACCGAGGAGGAGTGGATCTGGGCGAGAGGACAGGTGGGGAGAGGAGAAAGAGGAAACTATGAGTGGGAGGTAATAGATGAAGGAAAATGTGTTCAAATCACCAAGAGTCCCATTCTGAAGCAAAAGCAGAGTCTTTTATTATTAACGAGTTAACTGTCTTAACTTGGGCCCTTTATCCATTCGTCATGGATGGAGTAAGAGCCCTGAAGTGGGGTATTTATTGGGATATATAGGAGTGTCTAGGGGTAAGCAACAGTCTCAGGATTGTGCACTTCCGGGTTTGGGCAACCTGAGCTGTGTTGATTGGTCAACTGGTTGCTAAGGCCTATAGGCCCTCCCAAGGTGGTTGCTATGTTCTGCATGTCCAGAGCCTTCCAGCTAACTTCTGATAGGTTCCTGGCCACGTGGAGGGTACCTGACCTCCTAGTGACTGGGGCAGGTCTAACAAGGTCAGAAGGCCGGAAACTAAGTACATGTGCTGAGTCAGAGGCCTATCTCTTGCTGGGTCTTTTCTGCAGCCTGTCATGACTGCCAAAGCAGGGGGGCTGGGTGAGGGGCTGGTCCCTTCAGAAAATAAATAAAAATAAACATAAGTAAATGAATAAATTTGAAATAAGGATTATAAGAAAACACTATGATAAATTCTGCACCAACATGTTACATAATGTAATTGACAGATTATTTACTTATTTTGTGTGTCTGGCTGTTTTGTCTTCATGTATGTCTGTGCACCACAGAGACCCCCAGAGGGTATCAGATGACCCGGAAGAGAAATGACAAAGTGCGTACCTTCATGTGGGTGGTGTGAATCAAATTACTGAGCCATTTCCCCAACCCCATTAGATTTTCTCAAGTTCTTTTTCTCCATTGGCTCAGAGAAGCATGTGAGGTTTTTATTCTGATATTTACTCTGTCATTCACCTGCTTTTCTCATGTTGAACAACCCCTGTGTCCCAGGAGGAATCAATGCTGCGGTTATCTGTACAATGTTGTCATATAACTGTGTAATCCCTTCTATATGACGTTAAATTTAACACCTAACATTTTGTTGAGTGTATTTCAGTCCACTTTCTTTAGTGATTGTATGTATAGGTTTACTTAATCTGGCTTTGGTATCAGGATAGTGAAATTTAAAAGGAATTAGAAAATAATATCTCTTGAACTAACTGGAAAAATCAAAAAGGGTTGGTGTTCATGACTCTGAACATGTTTGACTGCATTTCTTCTGAAGCTACCAAGGTTTAGATATGGTTTTTTAGATTGGCTTGTTCATTATCATTATTATTTTACTTGTATATAAATCTGTACAGATGTTTTATTTCTTTCTGAATCAATTTGGGGTTTTTGTACATTTATAAAACCTTGTTATTGCTTTATGATATTTCATTTGTTGCCACATAAATTATCACATTATCCTCTCTCATGTGTCAAATCTATTTGTGAGTGTGCACGTGTGTGGGGGTGGGTGGCTGTGTCTGTGTGTGTCTGTGTGTGTGCCTGTGTGGACGTGTGTGTGCGCGCACGCATGTGTGCGTGTCTATGTGTGGTTGTGTGTCTGCCTGTGTCTGTGCATGTGTGTGTGTGTGCCTGCCTGTGTCTGTGCATGTGTGTATGTGTGTGCATGTGTGTGTGCGCGCGCGTGCCCGCGGGCACACATGTGCTTATCCAGCTGTGCATCACAGACATGCAGTGCCTAGGGAACCAGAAGAGGGTCACCTGAAACTAGAGATACAGGTGTTAGTGTTCCCTCCTGGGGTACTGGGAACTAATCTTGGTCCTCTGCAAAAGCAGCAGGTGCTCTTAACTGCTGAGTCACCCTCCAGCCCCCAGTCCTTCTTATTTCCATGACACCAAGAGCAATGTCCCAGTTACAGTTCTCTTTTTTCATTGGCATCTCAGCTCTGTTTTCCATCTGCTGAGCTGGCAGGTGTCAGGTCTGTTGAGCTTTCCACAAAATCAAAAGGTCACACAGCTCTACTCAAATAAGGACAGTAGGCTGGCATCCCCAGAGGATGCAGGAGGACATTACTCCAGGATGAAACTCAGCTGAGTCACTGCTTCCAGCAGCATGACTGAGCAGGATGCCTGTTAGAGCACAAACGCATTGTTAGAGATAAAGGCACCAAGAGAGGAGAGGGCAGCTCTTAGCAGGTAGACCAGAGCACCAGGGCTGCAGGACTCTTTCTCAGGGTCCTTTCTTGTCTCTGACTCTAGACAAAGAGGAAACACTTAAGGAAGTGTTGGTGATGACATCTCACCCCAAATCCCGATGCTGCTCAGTGCTTGTGGCCAAGGACACTTTGGAAGGGACTGTAAGTCTGCCAAAAGGCAGTCACGACAGGCCCCTTCTGCCAAGGTTCACAGTTATGTTGCAATTAACCAGGCCAGAGATCTTTCACAGTTCGTTTATTCATCACAGAATCATTTACTAAACGCAGCAGAGAGAGAGCCATAAACACATAACTGAACTCCAGTCCTAAAGAAGTTAATGCTGGGTTGACGCTACCATCCTTGTAAAGTCATTCTCAAGTAGACTAACAAGAAGTGTTTGCACAGCTCTTATTGGACAGCTGTAACAGACTGATCGGTAAGTCTCAATTCTGGGCATCCTCTTTCACAGACATCAACTCCAACTCTGGAAAATTGAAGGAGGTAGAGGACTCATCCCCAGGGTTGCCCCCAGTTGTCCACATGTGGCATCCCTGAGCTCAGCCATGGGGCCCTGGACAGTTCCTGCTGCTCAGATGCTGAACTTGCCGCAGGGTGAGACCACCTGTCGGGTCCTGAACAATAAGCTTCACTCAGCTCTGGGCACCAGGCTTGAGGCACAGGATGGACAGCCATGGGCACTGCCCATGAGCACTCGCAGAGGAAGTGGAATAGGAAATGCCAAGCGTTGGGAACAGATGAGAGAAACACGGAGAGTCTGAGACAGAGAGGAGGCAGGAGTGGAGGGAAAGGAGGATAGACAGGAGTGAGGACAGAAAGGGGAGACCTCTGATCCCTACGTACAGCGTCTCTTGGTGTCTCCATTCGGCCGTCCCACTCTCTCATGCTTGACTCTCCAGCCCTGTGTGTCAATTAATGTCTACCAGCGGTGGCCTCTGTCCACGCCCCTGCTTCCCTCTATTGCTCTTGTGGCATCGTCTACTGCTTATTGTCAGTCTTTATCTGTCTCCATATTACCTGAGCTGTGCATCTTGGTGTTGGCTCCTTGGGAATTTCGAATATGTTTGTCTTATTTATTCTTTTGTCCCAGACTCCTCCTGGATCCACCCCAGCTCACACCCATTCAGCCTTGTGTTCTCTTTTAGCACTTTTATCCAATCATTTTATACGTGTGAGCACTTTGGCTGCAAGTATAATATGTCCACCATGCACATTCCTGGCTCCCACTGACGTCGGGAAAAAGAGTTGGATCCCCTGGGAGGGGAGTTGCAGACAGTTGTGAGCTGCCGTGTGGACACCAAGGGTGGGACTCAGGGCCCCTTCAAGGGCAACAAGTGTCCTCAACATCTAAGCCATCCTCTTGCACTTGGTGCTTCCGGTACTCTCTTGGATGAGTGGGTGCTCCCTGGAGCACGGTCGACCTATGAGAGCCACCCTAAAGGAAACAGTTCTCCCTTTCCCAGAAGCTGTCGGCTGCCAATATCCCCTCAGCTTTGCATCCTGTGAGCTGGTGTAAAAGCTGTACATGGTTTCATGACGACTATTCCTGTCACTCCTGTCACTCCTATCCTGTGTTCACCGCACTTACCACCGTGGTCTTCCATTTCTCTCTCCCCCCTTTCCCACACCTGCTAGCCTTCTTCCTGCCTCTCAGATTCCTTCCTGATTCCTTCCAGTCTTCCCTGCTGTCTTCCTGTCTGTCCGTGGGGAAGGAAAGCTCCCTGCCCTCAGCTCAGAGAGGTGGCCTGGGCCTCATGAGTAAGGCCGAGGAGTGTGTCCACCTTGAAACACTCCTCGTCTCCTGTCTCCCCTCCAAAGAGAGACTTTGGGAGAGTTGATTAGAGGAGTGAAAGCCAGGGGAGACCATGAAGAAAAGCCCTGCCAGCTTCACACTGATAAACTCCACTAGCAGTTAATTCAGAGACTCACAAGTGGTCCAAGTGCAGAGAATAAGTGACATTGGAGTGCTCAGCCCTGATTGGGTATCTGTATCATAACCACATCCTTTCCCAAGGCCCAAAGAATGCCCCAGAAGCAGCAGCAGACATATCCTAAGAGTGTGAATTTGGAGAGGATATCCACAAAATAATGAGTTCTGATCATAACAAGAACAAGACCCTCGGGGCTGGAGAGATGACTCAGCATAACAGCACAGGCTGCTCTTCCAGAGGACCTGGGTTCTATTCCCAGCACCCACATGGCGGCTCACAACTGTCTGTAATTTCAGTTCTAGAGGATCTGACATCTTCACACCAATGCACACAAAATAAAGTTAATGATTTAAAAAAAAGGAGCATGACCCTCGGGAAACCAAAGCACCTTCTGAGTGTATGCACGAGACCCACTCAAGATCAGGACATCCAAAATCTGCAAGGGAGGAGCTCGTGAACCCCACCCTGGACTGGAGATTTTGGGGCAGGTGCTAGATGCTAAGAGATGCTCAGTGGTATTCTGCAGTGTGGCCCCTGGTAAGACACCCATGCTGCAGCAGATGGCCCTACACCCACGCACATGCAGACAACACTGACTCTACTCTGTGGTGTTTTTAAGACGGAGGATGCTGGAGAGATGGCTCGGCAGTTGAGAAGTCACTGCTCTTGCAGACGAGCTGAGTCTGATTCCCAGAACCACGTCCGGCAGCTCATATGGCCTGGTACTCCAGCTCCAGGAGGTTGAGTGCCCTCTTCTGGCCTTCTGGGCCTCCTGCACCGGCACATACATGAATGTATGTAATTGAAAATAAAGTAAATTATTCAGAAATAAAAAGAAGACGCGAATTTGAGAGAATGATGTCAGGTAGGAGGAATTGGAGTGGGAAGTGTGGTGTGGATATGACCTAAATATGTTGTGTTCATATATGTAATTACCAAGAATAAATAAATGAGAGAGAGAGAGAGAGAGAGAGAGAGAGAGAGAGAGAGAGAGAGAGAGAGAGAGAGAGAGAGAGAGAGAGGACACATAGTTGAAAAACTAGCCACAGTCTATATCTGGGCACAGTGATACGTTACTGTTTGTTTGTTTTTTTTGTTTTGTTTTGTTTTGTTTTTTCGAGACAAGGTTTCTCTGTGGCTTTGGAGGCTGTCCTGGAACTCATTCTGTAGACCAGGCTGGCCTCGAACTCACAGAGATCCGCCTGCCTCTGCCTCCCGAGTGCTGCGATTAAAGGCGTGCGCCACCAACGCCCCCTAGTGATACGTTACTGTGACCCCAGTACTGAGCATGTTAAAGCCGGAGTATGTGAGCTCCAGACCAGCCAGAGCTACAAGGTAGAACTCAATAAAAATAAAAAGGACGGAGCTACCTGCTCGGTTTTTCCACATATAGAACAAAGGAAACAGCCTGAGGTCTTCCATTTAACAGCTATATACTCTTGGGCAAGTAGCCTCTCTGTCATATGCTCAACTTTCTATTTATTGTTTTCTACTTTATGTCTCAAGAAGACGATGTTCAATATGATAATATACATTGGTATTATGATAGGTTGGTTTGTTTGTTTTCTGTGTTTGCTTATTTCACTGTGTTTAGGATGGACTGAGGTGAGGTGCCGGGGTCTAGCTGTAACGGTGGCCACACCCCTTTGGGCATGCCTTCAGTAGGACTCAAGCTGAAAGAGGGAAGCTTAAGGTATGGTCTCGGAGCTGGAGAGATGGCTCAGCCATTAAAGGCTAGGCTCGAAACCAAAAATATAAGAGTTCGGTATGGTCTCGCTTTTTCCGGTCTTTCCCTTGGGTCAACCAATCCTGCAGGAAGGGCAGAGAAGCGCTCCCACGGTTCTTTGTATTTTTCTGTGTAAGCGTTCTCCAATAAACAGTCATCTATCTTGAGTCTAGTGAAATCATTACACCTCATCTTAATTTGGCACCCAACCTGCTTGGGTGGGTCCTTCGACCGCCCTCACGTGCCTGGCTGTATGGCCTGCGGCTTTTGTATTTTGCTCTGGCCGCTGAGTTTGCTGCCCAGTTTCTGGGGCCTGTCCCAGGAAAAGCTGGTACTTTGCTGTGCTCTTTGCATGCTGTGGATTTGTAGGCCCGCGGCTGTGGAAAGTAGCCTAAAGCTTTCTGAGTGGTTTCTCTTTCCACTCAGATTTGTTTGCCCAGCCGCAAGGTTCCTTATGAGCCAATAGCCATCCAGAACTTCACATTCCAGGGATCTACTTGAGGTACAATTAACTATGCCAGCGCAATGGCAGATAATATCACTATACAGGAAGTAAAACACCTTTTCATTTCTTATATGAATGGGATTGTAGATGAGGTTTACGACCTACCTGGAACATATTTATTATCCATGATGGCTATTAGCATGAAAATCCATACAATATACTTAAGCCAAAGGCTTGATAATAGAGAATGAGGAACTCGTAGAAGCCATACAGACTTTACAGACTGGTAATTAGACCTTAGGAAAAAGGATTCATACCATTGAAAACACTTTACAGACTAGAAATGAGAGCTTAGTAAAAAGGATTCAGAACATTGAAAACAGCAATGGTAATTCAAAAAACAGAAAGTGAAAAATGGAACATAATACTGACCTGCTAACAGAGAAAATCTGTGCCATGTCTGATGATTCACAAACAGACTGCAAAAAAAATGGAACATAAGCTGGGCGTTGGTGGCGTACACCTTTAATCCCAGTGCTCGGGAGGCAGAGGCAGGCAGATCTCTGTGAGTTCGAGGCCAGGCTGGTCTACAGAGCGAGTTCCAGGACAGCCTCCAAAATAATACAGAGAAACCCTGTCTCAAAAAACAAAAAAATGGAACATAATATTGAAATACTAACAGAAAATATGTTTCCATGTCTGAGATTAATGACAAGCTAGCAGATAAAACATTGTTTTTGGAAGGCAATCTACATGCCATCCAGATAATCTCTAAGGATGAGACTATTAAATCTCTACAATCATATATAAATGAAGAGAACAAGAAACTGACAGATTTAATGAAATCCTTAGAAGTTTATACTGTCCAGGAAATTCAAACACTCAGAGAAACAATGGTGAATAGATTACAATCCATAGAAAACCTTAAGTCTGATACACCAGAAGCAGAGATACAAACAAAAGAGAATGAACAGGATTTAACATTGCCACTAACTTTCAAAGTCAGAGATGACTTACCAAAGGTCATAAAGGCATTTCCTAATTGTTTATCCCATTACTGTTGCTGAAAAATCAGCAACTAAAAAACATCCAGAAGAATTCGTTCAGTGTCATTGGGAGCCAATACATACGCAAGATTTAAAAGGTACTAAGGGAGCAGTAGTCTCTTACAGCATGCATTCATCATACGTGAGGCAATTAGTAGAGTCATGGGCTATAAGATATACGATGACATGGAATGCCTGGAGCCCTGTCCTTAAATTGGTCCTCAAATTGAGTGGAAACTGACTATGATGAACACATCTTGTCCTATGCCATACGGCAGTCTTGAATGCTTGGGATAAGACTCAAGAACCAGGGAAAAGAATTGAGTCCTAAAGTAAAGTGTTGCAAGGCCCCAAGGAACGTTATAGTGAATTTTTGCAAAGATTGACTAAAGCAGTATAAATAGGGGTAGCAGATTCAGAGATGAATACTCATTGAATGTCTAGCTTATGATAATGATAATTTAGAATCAAAAAGGTGCTTGGGCCCTTAAAGATCAGATTAGGACCACTGGATGAATGGATTCCGCACACAGGCGATATTGAGTCTTTTGATTATGACACTGAGGCTTGAGTAGGAGAAGCCATCTCCAAAGGTATGAAAAGACATCAAAATACCAAATGTTTTAATTGTAGTAGAACAGGACATCTGAGAAGAAATTGTGGACAAGGAATTCCTAGAAATAATGCTCCTTCTGGGAATAACTCAAATAGAAGGCCCCAACCTCCTGGATTATGTAAAGACCGATACTGGACCAATGAATGTAGATTGACCAGGGACAAGCAAGGAAACTCTTTACCATTGGTAAACTCCCTAGGAGGGTCCTCTTGAAGGCCCACATGTCAAAAGTGGTCCAGTCATTCCCAGTCACTGTGGAGGACAATCCTCCCCCAGAACAACTAGAAAATCCAGTGCCTATTGTAAAAAATCATACTGCTCTGGATGATAGATTAGCTTTGGAGGATGAATCAAACCCTGAAGGAGGAAACAAAAAAATGTGTATTTTGACAGACTTCTATAAATGATAAAAGACCAAAATTAAGAGTACAAATAAATAACATTATATTTGTGGGACTCTTTGACACAGAAGTAGACATTTCTATTACAACCCAAGATTCTTGACATCCAAGTTGGTCTTCAGGAGGTAAACTTTCAGTTCTTAGGGATTGGAATCCTATCTCAGGTAAAACAAAGCACAAGATGGGTTGAGTGTACAGGGCCAGAAGAACAAAGAGGCACGTTGAGGTCATATGTGTCTGTTATAGCAATAAATCTATAGGGTCATGATCTATTGCAGCAATGGAATACCCAGATTAACATTCCTCCAGGATCAGATATGAACCATAAGCAAACTCATGCTTGTGGAAAAAAATATTGTAAGGCACAATATAAAACAGACACCAACTATCCAGGCTGTACAAAAACAGAATACAAGTGCCAAAGTAACAGAGGTATCAAAAGCCCTACCCTTAAAGTGGCTAAACCTGTCTGAATGGGGTAATCACCTATAACCTCTAAGAAGCTAGAGGCTCTAGAAAAGCTGGTTCAGGAACAGATAAATGTTGGACATTTTGAAGAATCTGCCAGCCCTTGGAATTCTCCTGTATTTGTTATTAAAAAGAAATCTGGAAAATGGAGAATGCTTACAGACCTGAGAGCCATCAATAAAGTAATACAGCCAATGGACTCTCTACGACGTGGAATGCCCTTGCCTTCTCTGATAACTAAAGAATAGCCTATTATAGTTATTGATTTAAAAGATTGTTTGTTCACTATATGTTTACAAGAAAGAGATAAGGAAGTGTTCCTCAATAAACACCCATTTATCATTTACCTTGAGTCTAGTGAAATCATTGTACCCTCGCCTTCACCTTTACAAGAAAGAGATAAGGAAAAATTTGCCTTCATGGTACCTCCCATGGATCCAAAGCTCCACTGTATTCTGGTTATATTGCCATCTGGGAAATACTCTTCAGGGATTTTGATGCAGAGGGAAGATAACATATTAGAATGTATATTTCTACCACATAAACAGAATAAAAAATTAAAGGCATATATAGAAAACATTTCTGATTTGATTTTAAAAGGAAAATTAAGACTTTGTAAACTGACAGGAATGGACCCAGCAGAAATCACAGTACCTTTAACTAATGAGGAAATTTCCTCCTTATAGAAAGATAATGAATATTGGCAAAGAGCTTGCAGGAACTTTTTAGGAACAATTAGCAACAATTATCCCAAAAGTGAGAGAATAAAATTCATAAAGAAATCCATTTGGATGCTTCCATGCATTGTAAGGAAAACACCAATCTCTGGTACCCCTACATTCTACACTGATGCAAACAAATCAGGTAAGGCAGGAAATAAATCAGGAAATAAAAGTAAAGTGGTTCAAAGCTCTTATAACTCTGTACAAAAGGCAGAATTGTCTGCCATTCTCGTGGTACTTACAGAGTTTACATAACCTCTTGATATAGTTACTGACTCTCAATGTGAAGAGAGAGTCATCTCATACATTGAAACTGCTGAATTTATTCCTGATGATACAGAATTAACTTCATTGTTTATACAATGACAAGAAATAATCAAGAATAGGACTCATATATATAACACACATCAGATCCCATATGGGTCTGTCAGGTCCTCTAGTACAAGACAATGATGAAATTGATAGTTTATTGATAGGAAATATACTGGAGGCCTCAAAATTTCATAAAAATGTAAATAACAAAGGTTTAAAAAGGGGGTTTTCCATCTCTTGGCATCAAGCTAAGGAAATAGTAAAAAAACAGTCCTACTTGTTCCTTCTATAACCAGACTCCTATACCAGCAGGTAGTAACCCTAAAGTTATACATAGAAATGAAATTTGGTAAGTGGATGTGTTTAACTTTGCAGAATTTGGGAAATTAAAATATGTGCACCATACAATAGACACATTTTTAGGATTTCAATGGGCAACTGCTCCAAGCTCTGAAATGGCTGATTCTGTTATTACACACATAATAGAGATAATGGTTATTAAGGGTATACCTGCACAAATAAAAACTGACAATGTTCCAGCATATGTCTCCAGCAAATTGAAGCAATTTTTAAATATTATAACATAAAGCATATTACTGGTATACCACACAATCCTACAGGACAAGCAGCTGTTGAGAGATCTAATTGCACTTTAAAGGAAATGCTCTGTAAACAGACAGGGGGAACCAAGACCCCCCAAAAAAAGATTACATAATGCTTTACCAACATTAAACTTTCTTAATGCTAATTAGAAAGGAAAAACAGCCATAGAAAGACATTGGACAATAGAAAAAAAAGTCTAAGCTAAATTACCAGGTGTACTGCAAGGATGTATTGACCTCATTATGGAAACCAGGATATGTGTTACTTTGGATAGGGATTTCACCATTGTTTATACAGGAGAAGAAAAGCTTTAGATACCATCAAAGTTGATTGATCGGATTTGAGCAGGAGAAACCTCTTGATGAGGAGAAATGATAGATCATCCACCAAAGAATATCCCACAAGTTATGGAGACCTCACAAAGGTAGGGGGAATATTCTGTTCTTGTCTTTACAGGAAAACAGAAAACACCCATCTTCAAGAAGCCAAAAGACAGCCAGGCATTGGTGGCACACACCTTTAATCCCAGCACTTGGGAGTCAGAGCCAGGTGGATCCCTGTGAGTTCGAGGCCAGCCTGGTCTACGGAGTGAGTGCCAGGGTAGACACCAAAGCTAACCAGAGGAACCCTGTCTCAAAAAAAGAAGCCAAAATACTTTAGATGTGTAGATGCCTAAAGAAGAAAGGCTAGCTATCCAGAAAGAACCATCAAACAAAGAAGAATCTGACTTATGGTACCAATATCTATTCTTAGTAAAATTTTTCTATACATAAAAACCTGTATCTCCTTCCTTCCTAGTACTCTGGTAGTCCCAATTCATGTAAAACCAATGCTGGCTTTGGAGTTAGATTTGGCTGTCCTATAAATTCAAGCATGTTGTTAAAATAAAATTCAGAATTTCTGTCTCATATCAAAACAATCCAATTGGTGTAATACAGAAGAAAACAAAATCTGGGACTATTATTTATCAAAATTCGGTTATCTCTCTAAAATCCTAATTTCCCTCATACTTATTTTCATCTCTATTGTTACTTTCCCCTGTATGTATACCTATAGACATTAAACTTTCTGTGTTGATATTAATGTTTAAGTCTTCCACAATGAACGATAAAATTTCCTTACAGCAATCACTGAAATCTCAGGAAAGAAGATGGAGCCCCACTTCATCAATTCCACTTGGTTCAACTTGATGTCTTTGAACTAGTAAAAACCACTCTAAGATGGGTTTAGGACTATACTGCTCTAGGCAATTCCAGACGGTGCACCTTCATAGAACACTCTGGCCAGAGCTTCAGATAAGAAGTTCCGTCAAGCATCTCCTGCCACTCAGAGACTAGCTACAAATGTTACAGCCAGTCCTCTGGACACTTTCCATTGCTTTATTTATTTTTTCTTACAGGATCCCATAGTATCACTGTCACCCCATTGCAGCAAGAAGTAATTCTAAGAAAGCAACGCTTCCTTTTTCTATAGTTGGCATTAAGGATATTTTGGTTCTCTCTCTCTCTCTCTCTCTCTCTCTCTCTCTCTCTCTGTGTGTGTGTGTGTGTGTGTGTGTGTGTGTGTGTCATCACTAAAAAAGGGTTAGTTATCACCTGCTTAGGGTTGGCTTTTAGTTGTGTAGGGTTGGGTATAGAAGATCATGGTCAGACTCGGGTATCTCTTCTAGATAAGTTTAAGGGTATTGATGGGAAGGGTATAGTCAGGATGGGACTTAGGTAGATTGACATATCTTCTTGTGAACTAATTTTAGCAAGTATTAGCTATAGATAACTTACATTGTTAAATTCTTGCCTGTTGACTGAGTAGGCTCTTCTTTCTGTTTACAATGTTTTGCACACAAATATAAAACTATCTTTATGTATATATTTTGTATATAGATATTTTATCATGTTGCACTTTACGGTTCTACCTCTAGTCAAGACATTTCAGTTCTACCTCTGTTGTTGAGATTCGTGTGTGAGCAAGCGTGCGTGCATGTGTGTGTGTGTGTGTGTGTGTGTGTGTTTACATTTTTAAGTGATTGCCCTTGTTAAATTATTTTGGAAGCTTCAGCCATTGAGCAACTATGTTTCTGAGAATTACAGATTATAGTTACCCATGCTTCTTATACCTGTGAGGTTAGTCAGACATAGATATTTGATCTTCAGACACTTCAAAGACCTGCAGAGAGGCAGACATCCACAATTAAACACTGAACTGAATTCCTGGAACCCAGTTGCAGAGAGGGAGGAGTGATAAGCAAAGGGGTCACCCACAGAGGCAGCTGACCTGAACAAGGGGGGAGCTCATGGACCCCAGACTGATGGCTGGAAGGCCAGCATGGGACTGGTCCAGACCCCCTAAATTTGGGTGTCAGTGAGGAGGCCTTGGCAATCTATGGGGCCTCGGGTAGTAGATTAGTATTTATCTCTGGCATATGAATGGACTTTGGGAGCCCATTCCACATGGAGGGATGCTCTCTCAGCCTGGACACATGGGGGAGGGCCTAGGCCCTGCCCTGGATGATATGACAAACTTTGGAGATCCCCCATGGAGGGCCCCACCCTCCCTGGGGAAGGGAGTGGGGACTGAGTGGGAGGTTGGAGGGTTAGGGGGGGCCGGGGGAAGGAGGGGAGGGAGAAGGAGCTTGGATTGACGTAGGAAGCAAACTTGTTTCTAATTTAAATAAAAGAAGACCTACAGAATATGGCATTTAAATGTTTTAATATTAATACACTGTTGACATGAGACATAATTGCTCCTGACAGCCCCGAGCTACTCCCAAGAGTATGTTAGGCACTGTTGACACTCCATCTAGAGTTCATTCTCTCCTCAGCTACTGGCCTCCTAGGCAAGGAACTGCCCGCACCTCAACTGCTGACCTTGGATACGCTGTCCTTACTGGGCTTACAGGAGATAAACTTAAAGAAGACTGCCGAAACTTGCAAGGGTAAGTCAGTTTTTCAGTTTCCCTGCTTCTGAGATGGTCTGTCTGATACTTTACACCTTAGCTAAAGTTGGTCACCCCGACGTTGCTGTGAGACCTTGGGTGACTGTCAAGGTAGCCTGCTGTTTCTGTGGATATACTGGATATTATATATATCTTGCTCTCGCTGGTAGTGGGTTTTAATTTGTGGATATTTACCTTTCCTTTTCCTGGAATATATTTGACATTTGTTATCATTATATATAGTTTTGAAATCAGGCTTAATGTAATGGTGGCCACACCCATTTGAGTGAGGCTTCAGGCGGACGGAAACAGAAAGAGGGAAGCTTAAGGTATGGTATTGCTTGCGCGGGTCTTTCTCTTGGGTCAGCTGATCTGGTAGGAAGGACAGAGAATGCTCTCTCATGGTTCTTTATATTTCCCCAATAAACACCCACTTATCATTTATCTTGGGTCTAGGGAAATCATTACACCCTCGCCTTCAGTAAGGGCCCTGAAATGCTGGGAAAGCACTGTATCCCTGAGCCTGAGCCACACCCCCAGCCCCTCACTGGGGGATTCTAGACAGGGGCTCTACCACTGAGCCACACCCCCAGCTCATCAGTGGGGGATTCTAGACAGGGGCTCTACCACTGAGACACACTCCCAGCCCCTTATTGGGAGATTCTAGACAGGAGCACTACTGCTGAGCCATGCCTTCAGCACCCTCACTGGGAGATTCTAGGCAAAAGTTCCAGCCTTGAGTCATACCCCAGCCTATGCTTATTTTGAAGTAACCAGATACAAACATAATCAGACTTCTTTTCAATCCACCAGCTGAAGACATGGCTTCAGGATTGTGACATAGCAAGCCTTGATCGTGTGGATAGCCAGAAATATGGCTGACTGTATCTGGAAGTCAGACAAGCCTTCCTCATACAAGGAACTTGTAAATTCTCTACTGCTCCTAGCAGACATTGGGAAAAAGAGATTCGCCAGTGCCTCAGTCCCCAAGAACAGGTGCAGAATGAGCTAGTTCACACTACGCTTCCACCAGGGATTAATGTTTTCAGTGGAAGCAAGTGGAAAGTTCGAAGGAGACATGCAGCACATGTCCTGAATCCTATCAGAGAAGGACAGCACAGCATTACAAAGTGGGTCCCGGAGGAAGTGTCCTCCCCGCAGAGCTGGAGAACACTGAAAGTGGCCCTAGCCCTCCTCTTCTGACCTTTGTCCTCCTGAAGAGTGACCTCTTATGGGCACAGCACACCGGTGACTCCTGGAAGTATTGCTCTTTAAGCTATAAGGCAAATGGCTTGCTCTGGAATTTTGCAACCAAGCATTCCAATCTATAGTGTTCCGGACGCCTGGGGGAGACAGCAGCATATTCCCCATGAGGAGCAGCTGTCATTTGAACCTGCTGCCTATCGAAACGTGTCTTAGAGCTCAGCGTGTGTAATGTCTGGATCCTGCTGAAGGAGAAGATGATAAATTTATACTAGCAGGCAGTCATCACATATCACCACTTTACCTTGCATAATTCTCAAAACAGTTTTTCAGAACAGAAAAGGGAAGCACAGAGTGGGAAATAATTACCTTGAAGTTGTAGCACTACTGATATCCAAATTATGTCAAATTGAGCACTGGAGTTCACACTCGAACAATTGAGGACTCATCTAAGTTATCTCTGGAATATACATATAGGAGAGCACCTGCCTAGAATCCCCCAGTAAGGGACTGGGGTTGTGGCTCAGTGGTAGAACCCCTGCCTACAATCCCCCAGTGAGGGGCTGGGGTGTGGCTCAGTGGTAGAGCCCCTGCCTAGAATCCCCCAGTGAGGGGCTGGGGTGTGGCTCAGTGGTAGAGCCCCTGCCTAGAATCCCCCAGTGAGGGGCTGGGAGCATAGCTCATTGGTAGAGCCCCTACCTAGAATCCCCCAGTGAGAGGCTAAGGGTGTGGTTCAGTGGTAGAGCCCCTGCCTAGAATCCCACAGTGAGGGGTAGGGGGCATGGCTCAGTGGTAGAGCACCATTCCCTAGTGTGGGCCCTGAACCTTCTAAAAGAGGAGAAAGCCAGCTGAGCACTAATTATCCCTTCATTTCCTTCTGCTCTTAACTGTGGGTGTCATGTGACCAGAAGCCCCTAGCATTGTGTCATCCCTGAAGCCATGAACTGAAACCTAGGATTGTGCACTTATAAATTAATGAACCCTTTCTCCTTTGAGTGGCTTTTGTCAGGGTATCTTATCACAGCAACAGAAATAAAACTAGGGCACAAGATAACCTGACCTAGTTCCAGAATCTTACAAAGCTGCCTCCTCCTTACCCTCGTCCTCCTCCTCCTCTCTCCCCCCCTCCTCCTCCTCATCATCATTTTTTTCTACCTCATTCTCATCATCCTTATCTTCTTCCTCCTCTTTCTCTTCCCCCTCCTCACCCTCTTCTCCCTCCCCTCCTCTTCTTCTTCTCAACCCTGAAATTCTCATGCTTCCATTTCCTAGTTACCAAGATTGTAAGTGTGTGCCACTATGCCCAGCTCACAAAACACTCTTGGAACACTCAAACAAGATAAGCATTGTGGGCAGTCCTGCTGGTGAACACTGCACTCGGAAGGCAGAGGCCAGCAGATCTCTGTGAATTTGAGGCCAGCCTAGTCTACAAAGAAAGTTCCAGGACAGCCAGGACTCTTACACAGAGAAACCCTTTCTCAAACAAACGGGGATGTATTTTGACACAATTTGACTGTATTCATAGTAGAACTTAAGACAATTTAACAAAAATGGAAGTATGCCCAGCAACTGGTAAAGTTTGATGTTGCATATAGACAAAGAAAAAAGAATATAACCTTAGAACTGAGGGGAAGGGTCTCTGCAACCACCAAAGCCAGCAGAGCAATGGATGACCCATGGGAGGTAAGAAGGTCCAGTTCATACGACACAGTAGCCAGTGTTGGTTCAAACTCCGGGAGTCTGCCTCCGAGTGGTTTATTTTAGGCACAGCTTATATTTAAGCACAGCACAGCCGGGTGAAATTTTTCTGTGATAATTGGCTTAGTCCTGTGTGAACAGTAAAGCGTAAGATGTGACCACAATGAAACTCTTTGTAAAGACATGTGATGTCTTCCATAAAGAGGAGGTCAGTAGACTGACTGAGAGAAACAAGCTCGTGATAAGGGTCTGGGGAGCATCAAGTGTGGCCTCAAACCACACCAGTAGCACAAAGGTCACACGGCTATTAACCACATCTGCTTCTGGTTTTCTAGGAGGAAAACAGGTTACCCACCCTCCCTTTTGAAGGGACAGCCCTACGTGTTTAGCATTCTTGGTTCCCCTAGTGCTTATCTGTGAGCACAAGAACCAGCGTGACACTTACATAGAACTTGTAATGCAAGTTGGTATGGTTTAGATCTAGAATGTTCTTCCCAAAGCCTATGGGTTAAAAGTTTTGTCCCTAAGACTAAAGAGAAAGGATACCAGTGGGAGGGACAGGAGAGGGTGATGGCGGTGAAATGATCCTAATGCTTTATATATTTATGAAAATGTCATCATGGGAGGGCTGGAGTGATGGTTTGAGGGTTAGGAGCACTGGCTGATCTTCCAGAGGACCCAGGTTTGATTCCCAGCATCACATGGTGGCTCATAACTATAACTTAGGAGAATCCAATGTCCTCTTCTGGCTTCCATGAATACCAGTCACACGTGTGGTACACAGACATACATGCAAGCCAACTACTCATGCACATAAAGTAAAGTAAAAATAATTTTAATTTGTTAAATAAAATATTATAAAGCCATTTTATGGGTCGTAGTGTATGTTAATTAAAAGATAAGGAAAAAGGCTTGGTCCCCAAGTCAGCAACGGCCAAAGGTGAACTTTTGGGAAGCTGCCACACCCACTCCAGTGGTGTCTGCATGACAAGCCTGAAAACTTGGTCGAAGGCCTGAGGCAAAAGTTTCATGGAAACTGGTCTCCTGGAGGTCCCTAGCGTCCCATATCAAGGATGTGTTCCAGATTTGTTCTAGCAATAACCAGTGGATGTTTCTGTACCTTATCTTTTTGGTATTAATTTCTTTTGTAGGAATAAGTATGTCTCAAGGATCCAATCTGATTGAAGGTCCAGTAAGATTGTATGTTCTTCCTCTGGCCACCACTGGTGTTCCAACTTCCTTGCCAGAGACAGAACCAACAAAATCAGGGGCCGATGGCGGGCTCCTCCAGTAAATAGGGAATCTCCCCAAGTGTTTAGGACTTGGGATAAATATAGGAGAAGAACATGTGTTGTACTACATCCTGACTCTCATGCAAAGGCTTGCTAGAGCAAGACCCCCTTGGTGTATCATCCAATGACAGCAAAATAGTATAATCAGAAAGTTAGAGGAGGCAGGCCAATGGTGGGTTAAGCACTGGACCAAGAATTGGGATTATGGCTGGGGCATATGTCCATAAGACAGGGGAAGTAATTCTAAGAACAGGTTGATCTCAGACAGAGCTGATGTTATCATGTTGTAACCACTGTCTGGCTACTGCCAGTTCTTAAGTATTTGATTTTCTATTTTGAACATCTAGTCTTATGATGTGCCTTATGTGTCGACTTTGCTGACTTCGATGTACCTTGACATATGTACAAAATTAACTTCTTTACTTCCCCATGTAATAATTATAAAAGTCTGATGCATGCTTTGAGAAATTACACTCAGATTCATCACTCTCCTGTTTGTGTCTGTTTGTCACTCGACGGCTCTTTGCCCACCTGGGTACCAGATCCCTGATTCTCCCCTGGTTGAGGGGCCCTGACTGGGTCTGCCCGGGGCAGGAAGTGGCTGGTTCACTGAACTCTGACTTCATCTGTGAGTTAATTCATTGATGAATTCATAACCTGATGGGCTGTCGGGAGGAGATGGAAACTTAGGAAATGGCGCCTTTTAGAAGGGAATGGGTCCCTGAGGGTCCTCCTTGAAGGCCACATCTTGCTTCTAAATCTCTGTCACTGCCACCACCTGCACCCCATTCCTGCCTGATACAAGCCTCCCTGGGCAGCTGCACACTCCTCACCCTGGTTCAATTAACAAGTAAAGCCCCAGCACTCATCTGGCTTGCAGCTCTGTCTAGTTGTGCTCTACCATTCTCCCCATGCCACCCCTGCCCTCTGTCCCCCCAGACCTCCCCCCTGCCTCCTTGCCCTACCCCGCATTCAGCAGACAGTCAACACAGGCCAAGCAGGAAGAAATTCAAACTTGACCACACCACCACCACCTGTTTCATAACAAACCACAGATCTCAGATTTCAAACATAAGCTTAGATGTTGTTGGCTGTTTTCCAGGAAGTTGGGGCACGGGGGTGTTGAGAAACATTAAACCCGTGTCTTATTTTTCTTAACAAGGTCACAAGTCAACAGATACTCCAGCACCTTCTCTTGAGAAGTCTGAGATTCTTTGTGTGTTTGTTTTTGCAAGTGTTTGCATGAGTGCGTGAGTGGGGGGAGGGGGTAAATTCGCCGGCATGGACATAAGTGTAGGTATGGGTGGGTGTGCACATGTGTGTGCATGCACGTGGAAGCCAGGGGCCGACATCCCGTCTCTTTCTCAATCACTCTGCGAATTTGTTAAAGGTTTTTTTCATTTTTATTTATATGTGTGTGTGTGCGTGTGCACATGTGTGTGCCCATGTGCGTGTTCCCACATATATGTAGATATGTGCAGACACCCGAAGAGAGCACCTGATCCCCTAGGGCTGCAGTTATAGGAGCTTGCGAGCTGCCCGATAAAGATGCTGGGAACTGGATTCAGTCCAGAAGGGCTCTTACTGCTGAGCCAAGTCTCCAGCCTGACCACTCTCCACTTTATTTAATCAAGGCAAGGTTTCTCACCGAACCCAGAACGCATCAAGTTGGCTAGTCTAGCTATCCAGCTTGCTCTGGGGATCCTGTCTCCTTCCCTTTCTGAGCACTCGGGTTGCTAGTAGGCTGCCCGGCATACCCACCTTCACCTGGTTACTTGCAAATCCAAGTTCACTCTTCACGTTTGGGCATATTTACACAGAGAGCACTTCACCTGGAATCATCTCCCCCACCCTCTGTCTGACAACCATTGGTGCAGAGGCATTTCCATATCGGAAATCTAATGAATGTTAGCAATAATCAAAACCTGAGCTGCTAAGACCACTGGCTGGGCCAGCAGGTTGGCTCAGTCGGTAAGGGCACTTGTCACCAAGCCTGATGACCTGAGTTCCATCCCCGTGACCTGCATGGTGGAAAGAGAGACACAGCCCCCACAAGTTGCCCTCGGACCACCATATACAGGCCATAACACATAACGTATGTGCCCACACACATACAAACACATATAGGCACACATGCACAAATAAATAAATAAATGTAATAAAAATTCTAGATAAATGAAATGATTTTTGTTTAAAGAAAACAAATTTTTTATATCATGATGTTTGCAGAAAATGAGTGTAACTGGAAATTATCACATGAAGCAGAACATTCCATGCCCACAAAAGCAAATAAATGCTAGCTCGTATCCTAGATTTTAATTTTCATTTATCTGTTGGGCTGACGCAGATCATGAACCTAGAAAAGAAACAATGAAGAGGAAAGGAGGCCTTAGGAATAGTTAGAGAGGAGAGAGAAAAAGAAGGGAAAGGGAGTCATTGGGGACTAAGGGGGCAAAAAGGGAACCAGTTGGAGGGGGTAAAAGGGTTAGGGAAATGGATCAACAAAAACGAAAACTGGCTGTGGAAATGGTTCAGAGGTTAAGAGCACTGGCTGCTCTTCCAGAGGACCCAGGTTCAATTCCCAG